GTGCTCTAATGCTTGTGGAATACTACACTTGATGGAGATTCATCTTCCTGGAATATGTTTTTCGGAATGATTGTTGATGTGGGTGCTCTAATGCTTGTGGAATACTACACTTGATGGAGATTCATCTTCCTGGAATATGTTTTTCGGAATGATTGTTGATGTGGGTGCTCTAATGCTTGTGGAATACTACACTTGATGGAGATTCATCTTCCTGGAATATGTTTTTCGGAATGATTGTTGATGTAGGTGCTCTAATGCTTGTGGAATACTACACTTGAACCTCGGTCTCACTATACAATTTGGGTATCCAAATACTATCTACACAACTCTTTCTCGCTTGTCATACTTAGTTCTTTTTATCTTGGAAAGCCTCTCCATCTAAGCAGCCAGAAGTCATTCAGCGAAACACATAGAAACGACCAATTAAGAGTAAACATTATTGACACACATTACCTGTATAAATAAATATTATTGTTTTTATTTGTACCTTTGTGTATTTCTGCTTTTCATTCAACACGTAAGTTATTTTAATAGCAGTTTCGCCCCCCCCCCCCAGTGGCACAGCGGTATGTCTACGGACTTACAACGCTAGAAACCGGGTTTCGATACCCCAGGCGGGTAGAGCACAGATAGCCCATTATGTAGCTTTGTGCACAACTACAAACAACAACAACAACAACAATAGCAGTTTCGCCCCCCCAGTGGCACAGCAGTATGTCTGCGGACTTACAATGCTAGAAACCGGGTTTCAATACCCGTGGTGGGCAATATATATAATACACAATATTAATCATTAAACAAAAAATACCTTAACCTAAAAACCTCAGGCATGAAAAATTTAATAGTATAAAAAATATTTTATTTTTTAGCCTTCTAAGACTTCTAAATATTGTGGCTTAAAATCAGAATAAACTTCTAGGTTGAATTTCCACTTGTATATGATCATGTCTCAATGTTAGAGACAAAACAATGTACAGAAATAAATCTATTATCCCAAAAATCACAGTTTCGAAACTTACTATTGTTCATAATATACATGTAATTCAGCAAATTCTGTTATATTCATCTACTTTTTACACTTGATCACTTTAACCTTCAATCTACACTTCTAAAATGTGAAATTAATATGCCAATAATACAATATTATTTACTTCACTATGCTCGAAAATTAATATGGTTGCAACAGCTTGAAATGAATTTTAATTATGATAGCTTGCTAACTGTTTTTAAATAAAAGGTTTTTAAATGAGTGATTTTACTAAAAAGAATGCATTATGCATGCCACAATTTATGCAATACTAACATAAAATTAAAGTATATAATACTCTAAGTAAAAAAAAATAAATTGTTACATAAATTAGGACTCAAAATTTACCATATAACACTTGCATTTTGCAAGTGGAATACTACATGCTGCAAATAAAATGAGATATCAACTTGTGTGTAAGTAAGTTCTATACCCAGGATTTTTCAGAGAATCCACAAAAATGATAAATATATAGTTCACTAGTTGTGAAATTGATTTCCATTTGTTCTTAATGTTGAGCAGGGGGGCAGGGGGGGTCTATGAACTTCCACTTCTGACTGGTCAGTATTCAGTAGCAGCCATTACACACCAAGTTCCATGTGGTTGAAATCGAAATCACATGCACGCATGTAGTTTTACATGATTTTGCATGTGACGTAGGCACTAGCAGACCATGTTTTTATACCACACACTTTTTTACACAAGACGCTTGTGCACAAAGTTCAAGAAGCAACATAATGTGGAAAAAAAAAAAAAGTGATAAAATCTTTAACACTTTGACTACGACTGCCTTAAATGTATGCAGAATCTTAGCAAGCTGTACAATGTATACAGCACACTTGAATTCAACTGCCGGAGGTGGACCATACCCTATATGGTGAATCAGCAGTCAGTGGGTTAAAACTTTGGGGAGTGGAAGTGCTGTATGGTAAGTATGACTAAGTAAAAACAGCATATTAATACTAAATTTGACCTGACAGCTTAATACATATTAATGCTATATATACATATTACAGTACCAATAATTTCTTTCTTAAGAGAGTGTCTAGACGCATGGGAACAAAAGTGAGTGAGGAAGTTAGGTAACCAGAATGTAAATGTGATTGTTTGAAAGGTATGACATCCTAAACATTCTTACAATATTTCTCATTGACCAGTTTATGTTGATTTTTGTCTCAACTTTTGTCCTCTTTCAATACAAACAAACTTAATTTCAAATTAAGTGAGATTAAGCTTAAATTTTCAGAGTAACCCAGAACATCACACACCCAATTCACTAACTGAGACCTGAAGGTGGCTGATCCAAACTGGCCTCATGAAAAGCCGACCTAGTAAAAGGAGTCTAAGTTCTCTCCAGAACTTCCAGGATCATTCGCAAAAGCAGCCTCAGAACCCTCTGGACGAAAACCCCCCCCCCAGACTGCATATATGTCTCCATCTCACTATGAATCAGATCACAGACAGCCTCAACTCAGAGTGACACCCCACCCCAACTGACTGTTGAGAGATGCTAGATAAAAGAGATGGGATAGGAGAGGTCTGATTAGCCTCTGTACTGGAAACAGTAAACCAGGAACTCATGCCATATCTCGGAGTGTCATGGGTTTCACTCTCAAAATATTCCCGTGTGCATGGTCATATTAATAAGGAAAACAAAATCTATACTTATTTTAACAATGGGAACAACATTCACCTCCATTCCCCCTCAATTCAAGAACTGTTTATATACAACTTGGCACTAAAATACATGGCAATAAGTCAAACTTCTCATTAATCCTTTTACTTAGAAAGAAAAATACATCCAAGTCACTCCTTATACCACCACTAAAAGATCTTGATGTTTTCACTTACTTCTGAGTATAAAACTACAAAACAGCATTCAGGTATATAAGGAATGTTAACACCAGACAGAACTAAATGTAAGCTGTATTGCAAAATGGTAAGAGTGCTGTGGCACTGGTAAACAGTGCTAGCATAAGACTAAACACAAGTAAACTCATAAAAAAAACAACAACACATAAATATACATACACACACAGAAAGTAGGATGTAGGAAAAATTGCAATGACACAAATACACTTCAGCTTCTTTAACTCAAAATGTACTCTGAATTAAAAAAACAGCACAAAATCAGTATGACAGAATTGATATCTGACTAGTACAAGCTGAACAGTAACCATCACTCAAAATAAGTGTCAATGAGAAACTTAATGTCAATGAAGAAACTCCAAGCTTACATAAAATTGCTGAGAGAACTCCACAAAAGATAATAAAACCTATCAGAATTCCATTATTTCCACCACATAACTGCATTATACACATGTACATGCTGCTATAGTTGAATGATCAAAGAACCATGATCATAATCCTTCTTGGTAATAAAATTAGCATACAAGTATTCCCTTTGGGTATTATTATCTATCTACATTATCCGATTATTAAGAAGTTTAGCCAGGATTATCTCTCACCACCACCACTGATGAATAATATCAGTATAAATCTTTTATCTCACTGACACCTTATCTTATGATAATATTGTTAATATAACATTCTGAAACTAAGCACAAACATATGTGAGTTTTTGTTATAGATTTCAAGAAGTTAAAACTGATATGTCTTGCACAAAGTTACCTAAGACATTCCATATTTTTAAACTGCTTATTATGACAACAGAGTAAACAATGAAGTCTTCGAAATAATAAAAAAAAAAATCTGAATGGTGAGACTTAACAATTATATTTTTACCAGCTTGAAAAAAAAAAAGCAATATATGATGCATTTTGATTGAAAACAGTAATACCGGTTTAAAACTTACTGAGTCGACTTTGTTCCAGCTATATTCTCTAGCAACAGTTGGCATGGTAATTGGCATAGCAACACGAGCAAAGTACAAAATTGAGGTTCCACTGAAGAGTACTGCCAGCCACAGATACCTCTCAGACCTTAAAAAATAAAAGACCCATTTTAAAAAAAAACAAAAGTCCAGTATCACTGCAGCACAATGTACTCAAACACTGCTTAGCATATTATTTTTCTCTTAAAAGTGATTACACAGAATCAAACCTTAATTTTAGCATTAAAAAAACAATATTAATTCACTAATTTAAATTCAAAACATGCACAATCCATGAGCTTCAGCAAATATGATAATCTATTTTATAAAATGAAAGTTTTACCTCACTGGTTACTAAGGGATTCATACCATAATATTTGATATGTAACATAAACTACATCGTGCCTGATCACATCCCATAACCCTACCCCTGCTGGATACTTCTTATGAGGCTTACTGAAGGTACATGTCTGTCATTATAATTCAACAATCATTCCTTAACTGAAAGATGTCTTTGTAATAGAGGTTTGGACATTTCATGTAATAATGTGTTAGATGCTACAATATCCAACAACATTGTCAAGATGGATGCAGTAATAAAAATTTATGGTAGCAACACTGAACAGTTGCTTAGTGGTACACACTATGCCATTTTTTCTAAAACTGGTATAATACACTCCCCCATGTTTCCTTGTGCAAGTATGCAGAAGACATCAACCATATGACATGGTTCACCATACAGTGTATTTCAAGTATTCATAATGACTATAATTGTCCAGCATATTTTGTGGATCTTGTTATTATTACAATGTATTCAATATCAGGATTCATTAGGTACAACAGTTGTTGATCTAAGAATTTGAACTGTCTGGAATCCTGGGTTCTACAGCTAGGAATATATATGCAATTAAATGTCATATTGAATAATGAGAAAATTATATAGATAGCTGCAAGTGAAGAAACAGATAAGCAACACACGTGTACCTCATTTTTACCTGGTGTAAACACTACCTTACCTTATTAAGTTTTTCTCAAACACAATGCACTGTGAAGATCAGATAAATACATAGTAATATATGCCCCTTTTTAATTTTAATTTCAAGGATGATACGTTCCTTATACTGTAACATAAGCTAGAATACCCACTCAGACATGAAAGCCAGACTGAATGAACTAGAGATATACATGCATGTCACTTTCGGGGAAAAAGCACTGAAACAGTGGCCATTTATGAGCAATCCATATGTTCAGTGGCTACACTGCAAACATTTAGTGCCAAAGCGATATAAATATCAGAAGGGTGGAACTGGTAATGAGGCTTCATGATGGTTGTCTGATAACCACCATCACTAGCTCAGGTGGTTTAAGATCAACATGATGAACACCATTAATACTTATCACCAAAGAAAACAAATTCTATAAAGAAGGCCTCAGTAACAAATTGTGTTCCCAAAAACATAAACTCACTGTCTCCATGCATAGGATATACAAAATGTGCTGAGATATAAAATTATGCTTCTGTAATAAAAGCAACTAAATCACTAAAAGAAAAGTGCAGAAGATATTTTAAACAGCTCTTGACAACTATACAAGCTTTCTGTTCATAAAGAAAACTGTACAACTTGAATCAAATGTTCTTGCAACACTTCTCCAAACTGTACATGTATGATGCATTTGAAACATTACCATGTTGCAGATATGTATACCAAGAAATACAAAAACATGGGTAAGTAAAAGTTCAGATGTATTACTAAACAGTCATGTACTGCATAGCTTGGTCAAACAGTAGACATCTGTTTATTATACTATGTTAAATAAAGATGACAGTAGTATAGTAACATTTCTGTTAGATACAAGTAAATAAATATTTCTAGTTATTATTAAAATTCATTTCAAAAGAAGTGTGATAAATATTCTTGTCAGCTAAAAGTGAGAAAGCAGATTTAAATCCACAAAGAAGGATCAGTTTTCACAGTCAGAAATGTAAACTGAATACTATAACACATTAATGAGTTGGACAAAATGGTTAGCATCTTAGTCATGTTCTACATCGAAAGTTAGATTAGGGAACAAGTACTGACAGAGCTATTGGATGGAAAGGAGACTGAAATAACTTAGATATTAAATACTGAAATGATGATTACTCAAATGGATGGCAGAATAAATACTAGAAGGTTGAGGTTGTTATATGATTATAGTGGGAGAAGTAGAGCTTTATAATCACCATGACCTTTGTTCACTATATGCCACGTCTATGAGAGAAACATGAGAGAAAATTGGTTGAATTAAAATTAAATAATTTGTTATAAGCAAATGAGATTACACCTTAAAAAAAAACAGATTATAAAGGTTGTCATCAAACCAAACTAGCAAACCTGCCTTAACTCACACCCCTTCCCCAAACTGGATCACCCACATCCCAAGTCCCATCTGGTTCTACATATCCTCCAGGAACTGCTTGGGAAATATCATAACGGGTTGTCCTACACTTTCAGGTAATACCCCAGCCCTACATCTCAAATGAAGGGGTGGGTCCAATCAGTCTCTTACTGAGGTTAAGGCACCACTCACAGAGGAAACTCTCCACATTGATATCACCAGCAGCTTGGGAATGGGATAGTTAAGTTTTTCCTGTACTCTAGAAGAATGAAGCGGGATGGAATGTGAGTAGGGGAGAACACCAGTGTGTGTGTGTGCCTGGACCAATGTCATTAGGCCAAATCATATCTGAAATTTAGCCCCCACCAAGAGACGTTACAAATGGTTACTTCAACTAAAGACAGAAAGTACAGCAAGTGCTAGACAAGACTATACTTGATGTTGTCTGTAATTTATTTTTTTGTAAAAGATGCAGAAACAGCCTTGTCAATTCTATAGATATGCTGCCAAATAACTCTTACAGAAAACCCCATCTAAACAGTGGGCACTGAGTATGAGCAGATGGGTTTAACAGTTTCTCACTCAATTAGGATTTCAGTGGGATCTGATGACCCCAAACATAAGGAATATATTATTAGTTCATCATGTTATGTTCATTATGGTGTATTTTGTTTTCTCCTTTTTTTTGTTGTTTCTTGTTTTGGAATGTTCCCCAAAACAATAGCCCACATGTGGTAGTGCCATGAAATTTGTGAGGGACAAGGAAATGAAACAAGAACAGTGATGGAGTTAGATACGAAACTCAACATGCAAAACTCACAACACTAGAGCTTCTGGGTAGACCGTAAAATGACAATTGAAGGAAGGCAAAAATAAGAGGCACAAGAAACCATCCAATGATGTAAATGTTTGAAGATGAATGTGTTAGGTGTAATCCATCCATCAGCCTGCAAGATCTCATCCAGTGGCCAGCATCAAAAAAAGGCAAAACAGGCTGTGATATACCAAACCTGTTGGGAGTTGATGCAAAAAAGCATATGGTCAAACTCACCCAAAGAAAAATATATTAAATGGATGAGTTATGAATCTCTCTAGTTATAGCGGAAAAGGCAACAAATCCTGAGAGGAGGAAGCATGCCATATTAAAACAGGTGATAGTAGTTTCCATGAAAAAGGGCAGTCCAAGCAAGACACCAACGAACAGCTCATACAAAACACAAAAGAAGATTAGGATCAAAATGGTTGTAAAATGAGTAAACAGAAGGGACAGATATAGGAGAAAGCATCCAATTACCCTCTCAAGCAGCTCAAGTCTTCAAAAGAAAGGAGCAGTCAGGAAATGTCAACAGGTCTGTATGATATAATGTATGGGAGGTGTCTAATCCATAAATGTTTGAATGATGATGATCACATGCAGGGAGAAGGAGAAAATATATTTTAAGAGACAAATGATAAAAGAAAACAGTACACTAATGGCTCAAAAGAGCAGCATGTAAGAGCCCAAATAATCCCACAAAGGCCCCAATAAGGAAGAAGTACCAGATGAGATGGAGCAATGGACAAAAAAAACTTTAAAGAAATCCGCAAGAATAGGTAAAAGAAGTAAGATGTGGAAGAGTAGAGGAGGGACCAGCAGCAGTAAGCAGCCTATTAATGTTGATAGAGGGTAAGAGTGGAACACCAAAAATTATGCCTTATTGTCATCACTGCTGTCTCACTTCCATCTACTGAAGCAATAATGTGTATACGTAATGTAAATACATACCAAATTCACTAATTTAAGCCAATTAGGACACTCCCTGTGTTAGGTTTACTATCCTTGGCAATAATGGTAATGTTCAGACTAAAGCTGTAAAAGTAGATAACGAGCAGACAAAGGCAGCACAGAGTGCATTATAATAAGATACAAGTCTTGAAAAGGAAATGTGGTCAAAAGTTGCACTGTTAAAAAAGTCTAGTTTTTATAATGACTTGATGAATTCATATACTTTATAGAGTTTAATACATCTATGTTATTTTAAATTACTACTAGGAAAAATCCTGTACGTTGAACAATATTTATAATATTACAAAAGTTTACAGTAACTAAAATAATTACACAGTATAACATATCTGAAAAAGAAAATAATATTTTTAACAACTTTAATAATTTAAACTACAAAATTGAATATAAAATTCAAAGTGTGCAACTTTAACAAGCTTTCACATATTAGATTCACCAATAAAAACAGTTAATAAGGAATACAGAATAAAATAAACAAAAATATGGTGGTAAAAGAATACTTTAGTAGAGATGTCACTTTTATTTACTTTCAAGGTACATGTAGTCTGTAGACCACTCATTACAATATATTTTGTTACTATAGTGAGATAGGTATTCCATTAAAACATTACTGTGTCCAGTAGGATTGGCCTTCATTCTTCTCATTTTTTACTGGATTCATTTTCTAAAAAATAAAAAAATAAAATTGCTTTACGTTTATAATATGTTTACCATTTTAACATTTGAATAAATACTCTATTTAAAGTACATTTCATTGTATACATACAAGCTAATAAATAATTTGATGAGACAGATATTTCTTCCACAGAAATTACATACAATCAAGTTCCTCAATTCTTAAACAAAGGTAATTTGAAAACTCACATATACAGCTATTCTCGTCCAGTGCTGCCCTCTATATACAAACCATTTGTCACATGCTACAAGCTTTGCACTCCCATGTACCCCAAAATTATCATGGTTCAACTGCATCTTGCATGCAAATCATCAAACAAAAACCCTTCACCAATAGGAGTGCAACATACTCTCCAGACACATGTGATTCCCTCTATTTGATTCTACTGAACATCACTTTAATTGTAGGCAGAAAAGGAGGCACCAATTTTAAGTGGGGAGGATGGGTGGGAAATGTGAATGGAAGGTAAGTACCTGTCACGAATATTTCCAGTATAGGAAAATTATAACATCCGATACTGTACATTACCTCCACTCACATATAAAGCTAGAATCCCACTCTGATGAGGTAGTGGGACCAGTGTGAAGGATAAAAAGAAGTAACCTTCAAAAGCATCTGAAGAACACCCTTCACTGAGGATCCTCTTTATAGAGAATCATATGTGGGAGACTGCACCACTTCTGTACCAGGTATACTCTTTGCCCAGTGTGAAAAGAGGTGCCACAGACACTGGCGGAAAAAGTGGAGGAGCACAACCAAAAGAGAGAGAAGACAGTTGGATTGGAATCTAAACCACATCTTTTAATTATCTCAATCCCATTGAAGAGAGACTGTATATGAATCCTCTACAGACAGTAATTTGTGGGAAAGTGAAAATGGATGTGCTCCAAGGTGTAATGCAGCTAGGGTGCAGCATGTCAACCAAAAGCAAGTAGAGTCACAAATATAACCTCCGATCCATGGTAGGAGAATGGTCCACACTGTCTTCACTTCGAGTACAGTAGAATGAAGTATATACTGTGCAAATCAATCTACAAAACAGGCACATGTGTGTAATCAACAAATAACCAGACATTAAGAAGCCAACATCTGAATGATGGTAGTAAGAGATGTGCCCTGTGGGAGGGTACATCATACTCAAACTCAATCCAATTGGCACCCCACTGTTAACAGCAACAGCAATCTCAGGTGCAGAGTCAGAGGGAGAACCATCACCTCTTTTATCATCAATGAGGGAAAAGGGAGGGGTAATGGGAGAATTCAAGGAATCCCAAGCAAGATTCCATTGGTCATGCAGAGTCCACTGAAGAGACCGCATATGTGCCTGACCCAAGGGGACAAGTGAATCCAGAGAAGCCCACATCCCCAAAAGTGGTAGAACCTCACAATCAGTAAGAGAGGGAGCAGCAAGGGCATGGAGAACTGAAAGCTCCATCAAATGGAATCGCAAAGGAGAAGGTTAGGCCCAACTGAGGTGGGAGTTGAAAAAGAACCCCAAGTGGACAAGATATTGGTTAGGGGACAGCAAAAACTTCTTGAACTTTATAATCTAACCCATTCAAGCAGCTTCTGACAGAAGTAGACAAATAAGCTAACAGAATCTAGTCATCCATGTATTGGTGGAAGTGCAATCCTTGAGCATCCATAAGTCGGGCAAAAGCTTTGACTACCAAACAAAAGACATGGAGCCGAAGCAAGCCCAAAACGCAAAGCATAAAACTGGTACACAGCCCTGTGAAGGAGAAACCAAAGATAGCATCTGCACCCAGGAATGTGTAGATAGGCATTCAATATGTCTACCTTTGTCATCCACAAATTCAGAGAGAAAGCCCTGAAAGCCCACCTTTGAGTGAGAAAAGACTCCAATGTAAATTGGGGAAGATCCAGAAATTGATTGAGGCAAGACAGATCAATTACAGGACACCAGTCCCTGGTTTTCTTGGGAACCACAAACAACTTGGAGTAAAAGCTTGGGTAAGGATGGCTGACAGACTTGATAATGCTCTGCGATAGAAAAGTCTGTACCACCTCTGACAGACGACTGGTAGTAGGATCCTTAGGTAACAGAAAGGATATGGGTATGGTAGACAACAGGGTGGGGAAAGGAATTAGATGAGAAGTCCTTCTGACAAAAACCTTGTAGAACCCAATGATCAGTCGCGAATTCCCAACAGAGGGGAACAAAATTGGTCAAACAAGCCCACACTGGACCAAAACCTAAAAGATAGCCACTGGTACTACTGGTGGCAATGAGACCTGCATTGATAAAAATGATGAAACATGGAACCCCTAGTGGGAGGACAGGAGAAGGTCAGACATGGAACAGGAGATTGCAAGGGCCCAGAGAGAGAGATAAACAAGCAACCAAGAATGAAAGGGTCGAATGGTGCCTCACAGATTCCATGCACAATTTCAATGTTTCAGGAATATTCCCAAATACGGACCTTCGGAGAAAAGGGGCCATCTGCAAATCCCAAAGGTAAGTGGACAGTAAATGAACCTGAGACAAGACAGTGTCTCTCCCCAGAAGCTCCCAACAGGAAAGAAACCATGTATGAAGAGATAAAGCCAAGGAACACAATCACACCAGTGTAGAGGTAAGGAGAAAGAAGGTATCCCCAAAAAATCCCTTAGTAGATTGGTGGAGTGACTCAGAAAGAAGGTGCAAGGTGGAAAAGTACTGCAAGAGAATAGTAAGGGTAAGATAGAGGCAAAAAACTGGGCCTGGGATAAACAGACACGATTGCCTGGGTCAGTAGTGGCAGTAGTGATTCTTACTGCTCAGAATCAAGAAAGAGGTAATCTGCCTGATGGCAAGCCCAGAAAAACTGATCTGTAGCCCGTGGAGGGCAAGGCATGCTAGCACCAGCTTGTAACTGAGAAACAAGATGGGAGGAAGGGGTGTCCTGCAATAAGGAAGGAACAAGAGTGTAAGAAATTGGGGAAATGAATAAAATGAAACAAACCTGAGAAATCATGTCTAAAAAGTTTGAATTAGACCAAGCAGAATCTGCAGAAGAGGTGCGGGAAGGTATGGCATAATCGGGAGAAGGAAAAAGAGAAATGCTGGATCCAGTGGAAGAACTTGTTAAAACAGAAAAATGAGAAGTAAAACAACATGAAATCAAATGTACTTACTTCTACAACATGGTACAAACATCTCTTCATTTTAGAATAAATAAAATTTAATTTAAAACTGAAACTTTACAGAAACCTTGATAATATTACTCATAAACAAATGTAAAAGTAAAACGAATTAATTTCATTTTCAGTTAAAATGTGCCAATATATCACACTTAAAGTTAAATATGAAAATACATATTTTGTAAACCAAATGTTATTGTTAGTTCGTTACTTCCTAACCTGTATCACATTTCAAAGAACCAAACATTTATTTTTAAGTTACCCTGACTCAGGTCTTAGGCTTCAGACAGTCTTATTATTATATATATATTAATATTAGTACTTAAGACGCCTTACTCCGTTACTGTTACACATTCTAATTACAGTTTTACACTACAGTCGCACTTACAACTTAAATTTAGTCTTAGAAACTACTCAATTTTGTTTATAAATTAATGTGTACATAAGTCTTGTCTTAAAAATTAAATCGTTAAGGCCGTTTCTTGGAATTGTCAGTGTTTTATCAGTCAGAAAAATTCAGTGAAATGTGTTCACATTTTATAAATGAGGCCTACCTGTTGATTCTCCTATATAAACTACACACGTAAATCTTCAGTGTCAGACTATTTTATATAATTTCAGGAAATAGATCAAGGTCTGGGTAATAACTTTTTCTATCATATAATTTCAAACATACAGTAAAAGTATAAATAAAATGAGACAACAATAGAAAACCCTAAGAATAATATTTAAAAAACGTAAAACATTCGAGAAAATGTTATTATAATAATTACATAAAAATTCAGTGAAGTGTGTTTACATTTTATTATTTATAAATGATGTCAACCTGTTGATTTTCTTATATAATCTACACACGTAGACCCTCCATCAAACAATTTTATTTTGTTTATTTTAGGAAATGAGGTCAAAGACCGAGTACTGATTTTTCTGTCATATATTTCAAATATACAGTAAAAGCAAAAATAAAATGAGAAAAAATTAGAAAATTCTCAGAATATAATTAACAAACTGTTGGTATCTGCTTGTTTGATAATTTCCCGTAAAAATTTTTTCCTAGAAACTTCAGCGATACAAGTCCTTTCTTAATTAAAACTAGTTTATTCTTTCTCGTTTCAAACTTTATAATACACTTAATTTCCACGGTCACTTTAAACATAACTACTTTTATAAACACACGCTATAATTCACAGCGATTCACACACTTTACTTTCTGTACGTTACCTACTGCTCCCTTGATTCGATTACCTCTCTTCAATCTATCTCCGGCTTATATACTAAACAAACGAGGGCGTCTAGTAAACGCTGGGACATTAATAATTATGTAAATATCTCATAAACAGAGCCAGGCCCTAGGCAAAATTGTGACTTTTGCGAACTTTGTATCATGCGCCTCTACTCCTGTAAAATTGACAAGAACTACTAATTGCATTGTCGATTTTGGCACCCATTAAAGTGGTTGCCCTTTGCGGAGGCACACGCCGCTCACAATAAGAAACGGCCTTACTTACACTGTAAGGGGAATGCAAAAAATACACAGAGGTAAATAATTAAAATAAAGCATTGTACACAAATAATATTTGTTGTAACTTTTGCTTTAAATATTTTAGGTTACTGGTGTTGTGATGTTTTTAGGTTCACCATATTTCCTTTAAGAGTGATAAGATATCTCTTCAGAATAACTGGAAATTGGATCAGGATATTTATCACAGAGTAGTTCTGAGTTTTCTGAGTAAATGAGTTCGAAAAAGGAAATAAAGAGGCTGGATACAATAAACAATGTTTATTTAAAACATAAATGCGGTGTGTGTAATTGTTTTGGAAGCAGGACAGTCACTTTTATTGGATCTGTGTCGTTATCCCTCCAAACTGTATATATACATAAGTGTAAAATATACGTTTACCCAACAACAACTACTAGGTCCAATTCCCCTCTCATCAACCACATCAAGAGATCCTCCATACCAGCAGTTGACCAATGACTGTCTGTGGTGTTGGCATGAACAATGTCTCAAACCCAGACAAAGGCTTTCTTCCTCTGTGTCAACTTCACATGTAACTGGTTGACTTCTTCCAGTTAGGACAGCAGGCTGTCCCTTTTATTTAACTGGTTCTCCTATAACTTATATGATTCCCAGGCCTTGATCTAATTTGCAGCCATCTTTTAGCAATACTGCTTCAGATTTGGGATTAGCTATAAGGTGAGTTGTATGGTGATAGTGGTAGATGGGGTTATTGATAGTCTAGTCATTGGCTGCTATTGTGGCAATTTTTGGGACTTCTTCAGAAGCAGTAGATCAACCACCTTTCAGGTGGATGCCCTCCTATTCGCTACTGATTTTGGACCACTGCCACTGTTGGTGCTGGATCAGGTGACAATACTTGGCAAGCTAGGTTGCTGTGGGTCATCACCCTGCCAGTGGTAGCGGTATTAATCAACAAGATCTCCATGGATGTAGGCTGGTCACTATTCTTCAGCTTTCAAACACCACCCTCTAGATCACAGTCAATCCTCAATAAGTCTTAAAGTCTGGGCACATTTTTTTGCCATTTTAGGATGTAATGATCCAATCAGAGATCAGCCCAGACCTGGTGGCATTTCTAGAGGGTTGTTGTATATCCACTGATGGGACAATGGATGTACAACTTCTGATATTTTGAAAATTGCCTTGACTTTTTTTTTGGGCTGGTTGCAGGTTTGGTTCTATTAGATCCACTGCTTCATTGGCTGCTGGTGCCGGTACATCCATGATGGTTTTGACATCAACTGGCTGGTCTTAGGAAACATTTAGGTTCATCTGACATTCAATGTAGCAAAGTCTCATATGTAGATGGATGCTTTGACAAGCAATGTATCTTCATCGATGGACTCCATTGTATCAGTTTCAGACCAGCACCAGGAGTCTTGGGTTTGGGTACACTCATCATGTTGACTCTCTTTATACTGGTATTCTATCATATGATCATTAAGAAAAGAGGACAAACTTTCTGGCTAACTAAAACAAATATAATCAGAAGGGTCAAGAACTGGATCATGATTAACAAAAGTCCGGATTAAAAATGTAAAGTCAAATGAATTCCAGTTATTCAGAAGGTCAATCAATTGTATAGGTTGTATAGCCACACCCTTTTCTAAAACTACCTTTAGAGCCAGAATGTTCTGGGTGTACCACATATCAGCGGCTATCCTTCCTGATTCACAGTCTGTAATGAGATAGAAGTCATGGACATTCACAACTTCAATGAAAATCTGACACCAAAGATAAACATTTTCCTAGACCTGACAATTCTTTCAAACAACTGTTTCCTTTCAAAGACTGATTCATACTCTTGATCCTCATTTCTTTGAGTTGCGGAAAATGTTACTTTCTCAAGAAAAAATAATCCTTTCTGAATTTGATAGCACAATAGCAGGGTAGCACACATACATCAACACAATAAAAACTTCACAACAAGGTATCCTGTTGTAGAATCTTTGCATAAAGCTACCATGCACAATTATAAACTGATGGATTTGATGGAAGGCAGATAGTCAGCAGCATCCCCTGCCAACCCTGGGGCTACTCTTGTCTGATCAAATGGTGCGATTTTATGGTCACTCCTATAGGGTGATCACGTATCCAAAGTGCGGAGCACGCTTTTGTGTCAATGGGTTGCTAACCATGAATCCTCGGATTCACAGTCCGAATACGCTGACCATTAAGTAATGCTTGACCTCATTTTGTATCATAATATGGTACTACTAACTCCTATGTGGCAATAAACTAGACCAGGTCCAAGCCAAAGATACTCTTAAAAGTTCATAAATTTTGGATTGATTAAGTTCATAAAATGTTGACGTGTTTCTCTTTGTAAGGCCTCATAACCGATATTTGTCCAAAAAGAAGATGACCATAGTTTGTAATCATTTAAGATACCAGTCAGCGAGAAACCCGCCCTTGGGGCTGCCGTGCGCACTTTTTTAAAAAGTACTAAAAACAAACGGGGAAACTGCGCAATAGGTGCAGAATGGCCTAAAAAAGCGAGAGCAACTTTCAGATTTTAAAAATCCTTTATGGTCGCGAAGAAATAAGCGAAAACGTTCGGCTACCTCTGGACTTCCCAGAAAATCAAAGGAAAGATTCGAATTGTTCTGATTTTAGCAAATATTAGAGTTATTTTAGTTTTAATGATATTATTAATCAATTTCAATGCATAATTAGTGAGAATAAACATGTTTCTAGTTTTCGTTTAGTATGTTTTCGATCTCAATGTCCAAATCTAGTAACGAAACACTCTCTTCAGTACACATTTCATAAGAACATATTGCTCTGCCTCTTCCTTCTCTCTCTCTTTTTTTTTACTGGCTTTTGGAACTTTTGCACTACTCTACGTCTACTTTGTGGGATGACATGTCAATGTCTTGTTGTACACATAGCTGGAGGATCACAATGAAAACAGTTTTTGAAGCTTCCTTTCTTTTGTATTAATGTTCTTCATGTGGTCCTGGCCTTCTCGTTACTTCGGTCATACTTGCGCCGCGCAAAGATGGAAAACTGATTAAGAAACAGCTGAATTTATTTACATACGGCAGGGTTATCCGGTTTTTATGGTATTTTTCCGCGCCAAAAATGATTCTGAAATTTTATTTTTTTCCAGCAAAAAAGGAAAAAAAATTTTGGGTAGGTTTCTGACTGACCATAACACCTATAGAAGTAGTTCATTGAAACATGTTGCATCTAATACACGACATTCCAATTAACAAGTATGAATTGCTTATATTATCATGTTTTGTAGAGTAAAATAATTATTCACGCAAGAATTATGTTATTATCTGAATCTCAACAGAATATGTAGGAAACCTTTGCTGACAAGTAGATGCAGTAGACAAAACAAAACACGACACTAGAAAATTTTGTTTGTTTGTAGAGCTCCTCACAAAGATGCTCAACGGCTATCTCCGTTAGCTGTCCCTAAGTTAGAAGTGATAGACTATAGGGGAGGCAGCTAACCAACACCACCCACCGCCAACTCTTAGGTTACCATTTTACCAACGAAGAGTTGGATTGACCATCAGTGCTCTTTAAGAATGGTGATCAAATTACAGTATTCGGTCAGACTGGAGTATTCCAAGACTGAGGAGTGGGTGCTATTGATTAGCTGCGTTCAACTGCGTTCATTATGTTCTTAATGTCGCTAACAAACTCATTCTTTTGATTGAAGAGCATTTTATAAAACCATTCTGTATTAAGCTGTAGTAATTTCAAGGATAATTGTTTGTTTGTTTGTTTTTTGAATTTCGCACAAAGCTACACGACGGCTATCTGCGCTAGCCGTCCCTAATTTAGCAGTGTAAGACTGGAGGGAAGGCAGCTAGTCATCTCCACCCACCGCCAACTCTTGATCTACTCTTTTACCAACAAATAGTGGGATTGATTGTCACATTATAACGCCCCCACGGCTGAAAGGGCGAGCATGTTTGGGGGGACAGGGATTCGAACCCGCGACTCTCAGATTGCGAGTCGAGCGCCCTAACCACCTGGCTATATTTTAGCTGTTTTGATCACTAGTGTCGATATGGTACCAAATTATACCAGGAAGAACTTTTCATATTTTTGTGATTGAAAAATTAAAGCAAGCAGAAGATGTGGGCTATTTTCAAATTTAAAGAAATGTTACCATATTTTCTCAACAGAGTAGTAGTAGGAGGATTTAGGTTTATGTTATCTTCATTAATTAAAGGAAGCGAGCCATATAAAAGATAGTTGGTGGAACTTTGATTGGAAAAAAGAACGTGTAGAGATACACGCTAATAATCTGCTATCTAACAGCTAGTGACCACTACTAATCATCCGTAAGTTTTTTGTTCTTGTTTAAATGATTCAGCAAAATTAAACCAATAAAACAGAAAGCCTACTTACAAACCAAGCGTATGGTGTTAATTTTAAAGAGTCGTAAGGACACAAAAAATGGGTATAAAACCTTGTGTTTTCGGCTCAGAAATTAGTTCTCGTCGACAATTCTTGGAGCCAAAAGAATCTACTTCTAACAGAATGGCAGTATTACAGTCAATCTAATATATTCAACAGACACACTCTGTGCAATTATATCTCTACCCACTCTAGTCTAACAGCGTATTTAGTAAATGACGTACAATATGTTTGAATAATAAGATGATGTTAAAAGAGAACTCACTTGTAGATTGAGAACGATTCATTGAAGAAATAATAACTTGGTTAAGAGATATCCTAGAAGAAGTGTTAACCAGTTTACAAAAGTTAAATTATGTCTGAATGTCTGTCGCATAACTGTTTGACTGATAATTTGTTCAGTGTGTTTTCATATTTAATGAGTATTATTGAGGATCTGATTAATGAACAGATGCTAGTTCAGAACGAAAAATTTGATATTTTTTATGTAAAGCTATTCTCAAGCAGTTTTGCTGATATATAAGTGGATGAATATTTTAGTATTGTGTATTATAGTATTATTTGTTGCCTGTATCTCAGTCTCCGAGTCAGTTATTTATTTTAATTGTAAATTTCCTCGAGTTGGTGACTTGTGTACTCCACTCGTAACTGCATACGTGGATTTGAATAAATTCATTTGTAACTGGTGATCAAATCGAACTCCAAACAACTAACCTTCCGGCCACCCGTTACACATGTTTTTGTTTTTTTGTAAAGTTATCCTGTATGATTTTATCCTTAAACCAAAAGATAATGCTTTATCTTCGTTTAAATTTCAGTACTATTCAACACTACATAAGTTTGATTAATAATGCGGTGGATAACTTGGAGTACATACGAGCTGATAATAAACTTCAACTTGTGGGATAATTTAAGATGCATCAATGTTTATGTTTTAATCAAAACTTTAAACTCGAAGCTAGACTAATAGGAGGTTTTCCTCGAATAATACAGATCGTTTTCTGTACATGATCCACCATAAGGTTATATGTGGTAATTAAAGGATAAATCCAGCACAGATTTACCTGATTTATGTAAAATCTAGATTTTCGAGGACTTATAGTGTATGGAAGAACAGATGCAGTGATTTTTTGTAGGTGGACCGAAAGACAGAAGACTCAGTGTGAAAGAGAATCAAAAATAAGCTATTTCTTTATTGAAGATGAAAAACTGATCGTTTAGTTGTAGGACTATTGCATTGTAATGTCAAAAATGAAGCCAGCATATAGCTGTATAAAACTGAAAAGTGAACAAAGAAAGTGTAGTTATATAAAAGCAAATGAAAATAAACTGTACTAGAAAATGAACTGAAAATAAAATGTATATGATCAGCAGATTGAAGAATACGGGAACTAAAGATATGACTTCTACAGCGTATCTTGATTCCTTTACGCTAAATATGGATCTGTCTGAAAATGTTGAAATTATGTGCACAATACACGTTCTGTAACTTGCTAATCAGAAAACGAGAACCTGGATTCGGAATTATCTCTCCTTCATGTGACAGCCGTATATCATTAATCTCTGAACAAGGTGAAGTAGGACACAATACAAGTATCCTATGAAACAACTGACAGATTCAATAATCGGGGCCTACTTCAGAAAGTGATACTTTGTGCTGAATTTAGTACAGAATCTCGACCGGATTTGGGATTAATAGATATTAATTTAAGTTATTAGTTATTAATATATATGAAATAATTAATATGGAAGTGTTTAGTATGTAGAATATTCGTACCAGACACGAACAACAACGAAACTAAGAAGTTCAAAGAAAGTGACTGATGTGAAATTCAGTGGATTAATTTTTTAATCGACACAGAGATTCTTTCTTTAAATCTCATTCTGTATCGATACTGAATCGCTGTTAAAGAATGCCCAAAAATGGGGGATAGTGGATGCATCATATAATCACCTAAATTTTCTTTTCCCTGAGTAGTATTAGAAAACAACTATATATATATATATATGATGGCTAGTTTAACGAATACATATTTCCATAACTATATAACAAAAGGAAGAGCGAGTAACATTATGTGTTTACTTATTAACTGAAACTTTTAAATTTTTTTGAAGATTAAACGAATTTTCAATGACGGACTTTGCCTATTATATGAACGCAAACAACAATAAACAAAAAATGTGTGGCTGTAATTTAAGATAATTGTAATTACTGTTTAATTAGAAATGGATTTCATACGACATTATTCATTAAAGCCAATGCCTGTTACACATATCCTCTTAAATTATGAGAAGCATTCTAAATTTTAAACTTTACTTTTAAGATTCGGCATTTATTACTTATTCAACAAAAAATGTTCGATAGATGTTTTACTTAATTATAAATTCAACTCTAAATAAAATCAAAACCTGTCTAAATTCTGTTTCAAAATAGCATATAAACGGGAATCAAGTGTGGTGATTAAAATAGCTCATATTTAGTCACGTTAGCGTATTCATTATCTATAATGCATATAAAATCGTTCCCTACACACCAATTTTGGGTCGTGGTCCATAGGTAAGAAACGTTGGTCTAACTTATAAAAAAGAATTTAAGTTCACAAGCTATGTGACGATAAAAATAACAATATAATTAATTTTTTCAACACATATCATTTATCACAACAGAATAGATGGCGCTCAACTTTATTGTTCTTGGAATAACCGTTTTTTTATTATTAGTGAAGTACTAAAAATATGACGTGGTTCATTTCTATTTTTATTTTGTACGTTTAACTCAAATGTCTTGCCGTTATATGGCATCACCTGAACGTGTGATATCGCTTATGATAACTTGTCACAAACCAGTAACAATGTTATCCAGCTAACGGGAAATACAAAGCTTTTGTTGCAAACATTTTACTGCTTCTAGTTCTAGCTTATTTAACTTTTCATTATTTGAAATTTATTTGATTATAGATAATCATTATCAAGTCTTAATAAGTTCCAACTTATATCAAAAACTGAAGTCATGTGTTTACTGTTTAGAAAGACTGTATGGTACTTCCAGTTTCGTTGATTTCCTGTTCAGATAACAATAGCAACCGTAAAAAGTTTATTCTCCATGTAAAATGGAGACGGCTTAGGCTGCTATGTGATCATTAGCAGGATCAAGTGATATGTCCACTTCCATCCCTATCTTGTTTGGTTCATTTTTTGAATTTTAGTAGCCAGCTATACATAGCAGATATGAAGAGCTACCTGGCATAGTTGCTCTATCTCCAGTGTATATGCTGCTTTGCAGCTATCCAGAGCGTCCCAAAGTCGAAAACCGGAGAAAAGCCAAAACCGAGATTTTTTAATTTCGTTCATCATCATCTTTATTCAACAAGCCTAGGGCCTACCTAGTAGCTATAATTTTATAATTACTTGATAAAGCGAAACAGTCTTCACGATCCTTGACTGCCAATTTTATTACTATTCATCGCAAAATGTATAAATCTTTAGAATACACTCTATAACATAGTAACCCATGTACGCCATTTTATAAAAAAGTTAGCAAATAAGTATTAGGAAAAAATTATCGCTAGATAAAAAAAAGCTTCTGGCGACTTATAGAGCATATGACTTTTGTATTCCTACGTAGAGAGTGCTAGCGTAATCTCCGATAAAAAGAAACATTGAGTATACTCTGTCGCAAATCAAATGTTTCGTGATACGTACTGACCAGATATAAAATTTGCCATGTTCATGCAAGTTACAAAATTATGAATGAAACCTAACCCTGTTTCTTACATGAGAATCACGACATACTAACTTATTTCAGTTAAAAGAAACAACTGTAAATATAATTAACTCTAATCCTTATAACAAATAGGTAGTGACGTGTACAAGGGGGTTCAAGCCCTGCCTTCCTAATATTATGCCCCCAAAAGGGCCCCTTTCTCAGTCACAAAACATTTTCAACAACTACTAAAAGATATGTCTGATTCCACACTTAACTTGCTGTGAGTTATTAGCTAAAAAACAAAATCGGTTTTAAAACGAATGAAACACAATGACTTGTAGGTATTTCCAGTACAAATATAATTGTGATATACTAGTAACTGTTAATACGCATGAATTCACTCTTTAGTTTTAGATTTTAAAAGCGTTTATAAAACCGATTAAATAGGAATAAAATAGGATCTGTTTGCTTCTCGTGGCTTTCTATCAAAGGTAACCAACAATCTCGCTAGTTTCACCTAATAACCCCCCCACCACACACACACACACACCTCACAATAAAAGGCGGTATTTTGTCAATGATCCCCTGCCACTTTACTATCCTCTGCCCGTTATTCGATATAGGACTTTCTATTCGAGGATCAGATTTTCTAAACAGCTGTTTAACGTTATGATATTCACAAACTAACATTAATTATTGCAACAATAGCTGCTCGTGTTCTCTGAACCATTCTGAAAGATAAACTACCCACGTGATCGCTAGCACACTATCTGATGTCTGTCTTTTGCAGTTGCTACGTAACGATGTAATCGCCCTGTTTAGCTTTTCTCGTGATTTCCAGCACGAGAAGACTTTATTTAACTCAAATCGAAGGAATGATCCACTATTGTAGAAAATACCTTATAGTATCGAAATAAATAACTATGGTAGTTAAGACGAATTCTTTCTTCGAATCTCTGAATGAAACAGCAAAACTATTGACACAAAGAAACACTTTAAGTACTGAAAACAGAACCACAGAGCCAAAAGACGATGAGACAGAACCACTAATTTTAACAACAAACTCGAGAACTTCACGTAGAGGTAGGACTTTTTCCAGTTTTCATTATAACTTCTTGTCAAACAAACACAAATCTTGGAGACGGCTTGAACGGGTAATGAATAAAACACTTTAATATAAGTTTAACATAACAGCAAATGTACAACGTTTCGACCAGGTTTTATCAACATCACCATTCAAGCCGTCTCCAAGTGTTATTAACCTCAAAGTAGGTTCCCCGTAATCGAAATTGAGTGTAAGTATTTACGTGTAATATTTTTCCCTTGGAAAGACGTGAAATGCGTTAGAATATAATATATGTAATCGTAACATTTCTCTTTAAATTTCACTAATATTATCACAACATTATGATATTTTTCTAATATTCTTATTCCTACTTTAATGCATTGTATATAAGAAGTACAAACTTGATTTATTCTGAGTGTTGCAAGTATCTCAAAATTCTTTGTCAAAGTATATATTGTTAAATTCTTTATTTTCACTTTTTCCACTGTCATAAGTGGAGTGTTATAATTCAATATTTTCTTTCACTTTGAACCACCTGATTGTTAAAGCAATATTTATTGTCCGTCAAAGATTTGAAAATACAACGGAAAATACATGAAAAAATCTGGCCTATCTAAAGAAAGATTTGTTATTTTTTAAACTACTTTTTTCATATATAAAGAATGTCTCCGTGCCCGACACGTCCTGGTCTTCCTGGGTTTCATAAACTTTCTCAACAGCTATACAATTAGAGTGAATTTGAATGTTGCTATAGTAGCTATGGTCAACTACACAGCGATTCACCATCACCAGCTATGGACAATCGAATGTCCAAATTCCGAAGGAGTCTTCAATTCTAACAAAACGACACAAAAGGTAAGTATTTTTTTTTAGAAGATCAAGTGTATTGTTAGCTATTTCTTTCGAAAATTGAAAGGAAAACCTAAAAAGATTTGAAATTTAAAAAAAATGAGGCTAGTACTTGAAATTGTCAAATAAGTCAGTCTGAGCATGAACTTTTAAATGAGCTTAAAAATGATATAATAAATTGATACTAACATGTATATTTAGAAATAGTTTGGGTATACAAACTTTAGATATTAAACTTGACACATATGGAATCAATTTATCATTATTAAAATCGTCTTGATCCACATTATTTATCATTTTTACCAAATCGCCATCTAGTGTCTCGTTAACTTCTACCTTGTATTTCCCGATTTTAATTTTACTGCACATTTCTGTAATTTTATTAAACAGGTTTAATAGGTCAGAAGGTCATAAATATTTTCAAATTACATATTATATTGTTAATTCCTCTAAAAGCTTTTGTACGTCGTTTTATTTTTGTCCATTAGGTAAAAATACAAATAAACTAACACTGGTAACAACCATCAAATGTAGGCGTAATTTAAAATGTTCATGATAGTGAAATTTTTATGAATAAAAATTATAGACATTTGACTTTTGTAGAACTACAAAGATTCTATAAACATAGATTTATGCTTGAAATTAAAACCATTGAAGATAAAAATATGCTGTTATATCATGCTTTATTGTCTTTATACGTTAAAATTAACATTGCATCTATGTTTTATTTATGAATAAATATACATATGGATATCTTGTTTAAAAAAATCACATTTTATAAAACAGCGATTATTGTTTACACAATTCTTAAAATGAGACTATTTCCAGTTCACAATTACAATAAAATACAAATAACTTACTGTATTTTTTGTTTACACATAGTTTTCGTTATAAGTCTGAGTTCGACAAAGAAAACAAACTTCGCTCTAACAATCTGTAAAAAATACTCTGTTTCTGTTTGTACTTTACCCTCATATTGTTTTGTAATTATAATAAAAACATTTGATTATTTAATAACGAATACTACGAAAGGAAACTTTAGGAGAGCTTTGTGACTATGAAAAGTTTAAGTTTGATTGCAAAAGTACCCAGTGAAACGGTCGTAGCAGAGTGAGATTGTTTTTTATCTCGGAAGTTGCTAATTTTAATAGCATAAGACGAAGCGGATCCACGACATCCTAGCTTGTAATACAATGCCCAGTGGATAGCATTCAGTTGGTCCGGATTTGTAATTCAACAAAATATTGATGCAAAACATACTGCCCTGCTGGCAGTGTTAAAAATTGTAAAGAAAATTCATAGTGTTAATGCATCATCTTTTTTCATACTTAACAGCAAGAATAGTAGGACTAGTGGACATAAGTATAAAGTTTGGCAAGGTAGCAGTTATCTTCAGCTAAGACAGTTTTATTTTTCTAACAGGGTGATTGGCTTTTGGAATGGGTTGCCTTCGGATGTTGTGGAAGCCATAAATTCAAATGAGTTTAAGAGACAGCTTGATAACTATATGAGTGATAAAGGCTGGCTTTAATGTTTTCTTTTTAATTCATTTGTTTAATAGTTTTAGTTTAGTTTAGAGGATGGGACAGCCGAGATGGACCAATAGGTCCCTTGTTGTTCCTGAACATTGTGTTATGTTATTTAAATGACAAGGCCAAAGCCGGTAATATAAACTTACACGATTTTAATAATAATTTGATAATCCACAGCTGATCAATGTTCTCATATTGTTAAAAGAAGAGAAGAATCTACTAAGTACTAAATATTCAGTTTGTTATATTCGAATATAAATGTTTATGCCTAATATTGTAGTATTGAGTAAAATATAAAATGTAATCCAAAACAGAATTTGTTTTGGAATCTTTCTTATGCTTTTGGGTGTTGATACATTGGACTCAGACTTATGACCGATACAGCCAATATTATACATCTAACTATTGCAAAGTATATCTTACGATATCACTAACAAAAAGTTCAAGTACGTTTTGAAATGGAAAGTGAAACATCAAAATATTCTATATGAATTTGTAGGCAAATCTTTCATACAATCAAAAAGAATTTTGGTATTGGTTTTAATTTTTCTTCCATGTTGTTCCAGGAAGGGGAGTTTATCTGGGATGAGTACACTCAAGGAATCATATTGGGTAGTTTCTACTTTGGCTACCTTCTAACAAACTTATGTGGAGGAATCCTGGCAAAAAGATTTGGTGATAAAAGAGTATTTGGTTGGGGAATTTTTCTGTCATCTGTGTTAACGGTTCTGACACCTCTGTCACTACAGCTGCCTATTGGAGTTTTTATTGCAAAAAGAATAGTAGAGGGTCTTGGTCAGGTAAGAATACATAACATATTTAAAGTAAACAAATCTCACCACCCACCGCCAACTCTTGAGCTACTCTTTTACCAACGAATAGTGGGATTGACCGTCACATTATAACGCCCCCACGGCTGAAAGGGCGAGCATGTTTGGTGTGACGGGGATTCGAACCCGCGACCCTCAGATTGCGAGTCGAGCGCCCTATCACCTGGCCATGCCGGGCCGTTTTTACAAGAAAGACAAATGAAACATTTCTCGCTAAGAAACCAGACTGTTAAAACTTTTAATTACGAAATACAGAGAAACAACAACAACAAAAATATTCACAAAGTCAAGAGAACCTTCCAGTATCAAAGATGAGAGAGTTTTTATTATGTCCATTGGAAAAAGTTGATAATTTCTGAGATTCTTATAGGAACATGAATCAATCGTAAGAACATCTTCGAATTAGACATTTGCAAATATATGTATATATAATGAAAAGAGTATTCATTCCGTAAATGTTTAACAAATAAGATCTACCATCTAATAATGCAATATAAAAATTGTTTTGATCAAAACAAGTTACTAGAGCATAAAGTCCAACAGTACTGTTAAGTCATGTTGAGATTAACACTCAAAGAAATATTACAAAACTAGCTGGAGTACTCGTCCCCTGGACGGAAATTATGTAAATTCATGATTAATAAAAGGTTATCTTAGGACATGAAAAGTCGTTTCCCTTATATATAACTGTAAAAAACGCAAAAAAAAGTCCATAAAAACTGCAAAACACAAAATGCAGAACTGAAAACTTGTATGTATCTCCCCATGGACCCATTGAATCTCCATACCAAATTTAGTGACGATCCATCTACAGGGGACGAAGTAGTGATAAAAAACGCATAAACGCCCATAAAACCCGCAAAACACAAAACTGAAAATCTGTACCCCCACATGGACGTAATGAACCTCCATACCAATTTACGTGAAGATCCGTCCACATCCTGCGAAGTAGTTACACGGATATACAACAGACAGTAATATTATATTTATATAGATTTAGGGGAAATAAGTGAACAGACAATTGATTTTTGTTAATTAATCACGATAGACTTAATTGTTGTTGTACATATTGTTAAAACTTTTTTCACTAAACAACAATATGCCCCCCAGTAGCACAGCAGTATGTCTGTGGACTTACAACGCTAGAATCCGGGTTTCGATACCCGTGGTGGGCAGAGCACAGATAGCCCATTGTGTAGCTTTGTGCTTAATTACAAACAAACTAAACAACACTAAGTATGAACACAACTTTAACAAAAATATATCTCAAGCAAAATGTAACGGATAATAAAAAGGATCTTTGGAAATAGATATTTAAGAATTTCTGAGCTACTTTTACGACATCTATGTCAAATAGGCCAAAACATTTTAGTACAATTAATAGTTTCGTTTTGAGTCACTTACTGATTAAGTATATTTTATTACAAGATACAACTTGTAGTGAAAATTTTAATACAATACTCTTATGCTTTCAATATTTGTCATGGAATAAATTCATAATACTACATATTTTACTTAAAATATCTGCTTCTCCAGTGTTTCTTTTGTATATATATATTTCGTGGCACTTAAGGCTGGAGTTATTGTGTCTAAATCAAAACACTTATTCGTGTCTTTCAAATTTCTTCCATTTTTGTTGATCTTATCTTTTATTTTTGGCTTTGATAGACAGCGTATCCCTCGTCCCTTCTTAACAAGTCTTTTGCATGAGTACCTCCTGGATGATTTTCAGAAATTTCAAATTTAAATGTTTCATAATTTTGATCTTGTGACTTGTTGCGATATCTATACTTGTGTATATGTCTTTTTTCCAAATATGACTTTAAAAAAGCCGTGATGTCACGAACAAGTTGATTAAACATAATCTGTTTATTTTTCGCTTTTGACGATAAGAACTGTTTTCATGGAACCTTAGTTTTGATTTCAGAATTTGTATTATTTCTCCAGGGCGGGATGACCCCAGCTATGCAATCTTTATTGGCAAGATGGGTTCCAAAATCTCAACTAGGTTTGACGAGTACAATTGTCTACAATGGCGCTCAGATCGGCACTGTTATCACAATGCCCTTGACTGGCATATTGTCCAACTCTGATTTTCTTGGTGGTTGGCCATCTGCTTTCTATGTATTTGGTTAGTATGGTGACTTTTATGACACAAATTTTCCGAACTTATAATTGTAAATTATCACTACGTTCATGCATAAACACACACTTTACTCAGGAAAAGTCACTAAGAGAAATTTCTGTGAATTATGAGAATTTTAGAAAGTGAAACGATTAAAGATTAAAGACTGCTGAAAGTATAAAACAAAATAACTGAAACATGAAGTAGTCGCAATATGGGTTACATTGTTTTAACCAACTGCATGTAAATCGTAATGGTTAATCACAAATTTTGTATAGTAATAAAAGCAAATTACGTTGGTTTCAAAATTGTATGACTTTATCCAAACATAGGTCTGAAAGCAATGAGTCGAATAACTGTGATTAGGATAATGTTGTTACGGCTGCATATGTTTTTAGAATATGCATGTCTAAATGTACACAGATATCACGAGATCTCAAATTAAGTTTTATAGCCAGTAGACTAATGTTTACTTTGCTTTTTATCTTATATGATTGTGGTTTCTGCTACAAACTCCCCAAGACCCTTGCCTTATTACAAAGTAACAAAATTGACAGCTTGATATGGCCCACATAGAAGCCAGTCATTGGTCTTACAAAATATTTGTGGGACAATCTGGAAGAGTTAATTTGAAAGTTATCAACCAGCCAAGGCTTTGCAATAACATTGAAGATATTTTACACCAACCATGTGTCAGAATCTAACTGAGACAATGTCTCACAAGTAGTTGTTGGTGTACCCCTGTATTGGAAGTGATGTTATATATCCACAACATGGCACCAGAAGGCCGGAGGTTGTCACGCCCCCAGGACACTTGATGATGAAAGTTGTCTGATGCCATAGAGTGTGTTGCTAGGAGATGTCACGTGACATCATAGTTCGAGTGTAACTCAACAGAGAGCATGATGCTAGGAGTCATAGTTTCATGAAGAGGTACAAGAGGGCACTGCTGTCTTATGGGATGGGTGACATCATAGTTCGATACCAGATGGGCTGCTATATTAGGCGAATGCTATTACTAAGGTTCTATAGGTGGATGGTTTATCAAGGCTCTATAGGCGGATTGTTTTACTAAGGATAATGTTTGTATAGGCGGATGGTCTTGCTGAGGATAATGTTTTTATAGATAGTTGGTCATACTACGTGTATTACATGTGTTTTACAAAGGTGGACAGCATTACTATACTTCATAATATTATATATAGATTTTAACTTGTCTCAACTTATTGTTATAGTTTTCATTGCTCCTCCAGTAGCACAACAACATGTCTGCGGAATTACAATGCTAGAATGGGTTTCGATACCCGTGATGGGCAGAGCACAGATAGCCCATTTTGTTGCTTTGTCCTTAACTCCAAACAAATAAACTAATTTTCATTTATATATTTAATAGTATTAGTTGTGTTTTACAAAGGCTTATGGTGTTTCTATAGGTAGACAGTGTTACTATACTTACATAGGACTGCATAAAAATTTCAACTCGTCCCAACATAAATTTAACTGTGTTACAGGTGTTTTACAAAGGTGGATGATGTTACCAAGAGAAATGTGTTACTAAGGTTCTGTTGGCAGATGATATTACTTAGCAAATCATGTTACTAAGGTTAGTGCTGCTAGGGCAGATGGTGTTTCTATAAATGGATAGTTCAATAGGTTAACGAGCTCAGTTTAGGGTGTCTTGGTGTGTCTCAACATGTGATTAAGTCATAAACACTGTAGTCTAGGTGAGAAAACTATTATAGTATAGCGAATTACATATGTCAGTTTTTATCACACACACATATTATCTTAATTATCTTAACTGTCCACCTATAGAAACACAGCTGCCTTTGTAAAACACGTGTAATACAATTAAATATATAAATGAAAACTATAAACATGAGTTAAGACAAGTTGAAATCTATATGCAATCCTTCAGAAATATATAACGCCATGCTGTATCTACCGCAGAGACAACTTCGAGTTGGAAGCATTATAAGCCCATTGAGTCATTAGAGGAGTCCACAAAGTCGATCCTTTGTGTGTGTGTGTGGATAACTCCGACTGGTAATTCTAATTAATTATGTTGTATCTACCGCAGAGACAACTTCGAGTTGGAAGCATTATAAGCCCATTGAGTCATTAGAGGAGTCCACAAAGTCGATCCTTTGTGTGTGTGTGTGGATAACTCCGACTGGTAATTCTAATTAATTATTCTTTTCTTAACTATCATTATTCACAATTATCTGATTTAGCTTGCATTTTGTTATTATTATGTATCAGAAACCAGACCTTTATTTTTTCAGGTGTAATCAGTTGTGTGGGTAGCATCGTCTGGATTTTAATTGTTCATGATTTTCCCTTGGATCATCCTAGAATATCCAAACAGGAACTCATGGAGATACAAGCAGAAAACGGATTTCAAAATTACGGGGAAAAGGTAAGATAATTTTATGGAGATATCAAGAGTACATTATATTTGTTGTTTAGGAGATGTATAATATGTTTGTTTAGTGCAATGTTAAATAAAACGTTTTTTTCGTATAAATTACCTATATGATAAAAATTTTATAACTTCAGAAATATATTTATGAAAAAAAAAATGAAATGTTTTCTTACACTTTTAAGTATAGTGATAAGATATGCAATTAACACAAGATAATATTACAAAGGAAAACAAATCAATCCCCTGGCGGCAAATCCTGACTTCTTTTCCTGTCTGGGCCGTGATAATAGCACACTACGGAAATTCTTGGGGATTTTATACAATCTTAATTGACTTACCAACTTATCTGAAGAACATTTTACACTTCGACATTGAACAGGTAAGAATTATATACATATATATTTAAAATGTTTTTGAGCATGGCAGAATGTAAAAAATGGGACTTTATTTACCTCGAAAGTTAGTTTTTGTTATTCCTTGAAGTGAGATTTTGTTATTTCTTTTGTAGATCCGTGTATTTGTCTCACACACATGTAGATTTCTTTTAATACAAATTTCAATTTATTTTGTTTTGTAGTTAATTATTTTTTTGTTATATACCTAAACGGCCAGCGTGCCCGAGCTGAGAGCCCGAGGATTCATGGTTTGCATCCCGGTGCTGCAAAAAAAAAAAAGGCGCTGCTCATTTCAGGGCCATGGTTAAAAATGGCCGTCATATCTCACTATCCGGTCAGATAAGAGTAGCCCAAGAGCTGGCGGTGGGTGTTGCTGACTAACTGCTTTCTAGCGATTCTCTAGCATCACAGACACGCGAACCATTTTTTAAAACAGGCGTAAATTTAATAAAGAAGAAGATGAAAACTAGTAGAAAAAGTGAACATTTTAATACTTATCCGTGAATGGGAAGGATATGATTGTTTTTTTTTTGGCACAAATGAAAAGTATCTGATATATTTGATGTGAATTTCAAGCGAAGGTCGGGTCGAACATTTAGCCTTGACATCCACTTAATTTTCAATAACGTTCGTTAACAGTTGAGAATGCAGTTTCGCACATGTATGGAGTTATAAAAGACATTCAGAATTTTAAAGCAGCAGTGTCAGATAATGTTTGTACTGTTCTAGAAGTTTCAACTAAAAAACAGTGTTCAAAGAGACATTTTAAAAACATTTCTTCAAATAACCATCACAAGAAAATTCAATTACATCTTTTTCTTTCATTAAAACTGTGCAGAGTTTTCACCTCACTGTGTATGGGTTTCTAATCCGCTGTTCGTTGAGGACAATATCAGTAACATATATTTGAAGTTGTGATGTTCTTCAATAGCAGACAGAACTTTTGAAGTGAAGTTAATTTCAGTTTCACTGAAGTAACTGTCAAAAGTTGTTGTTTTTAAATTCGCGCAAAGCTACACGAGGGCTATCTGCGCTAGCCGTCCCTAATTTAGTAGTGTAAGACTAGAGGGAAGGCAGCTAGTCATCACCACCCACCGCCAACTCTTGAGCTACTATTTTGCCAACGAATAGTAGGAGCTAATGACGATGGTACGCGAAAACAAGTACTGTAAAATATTTCCAACTTTTGACGGCCCGACATGGCCAGATGGTTAGGGCGATCTACTTGCAATTTGAGGGTTCGAATCCCCATCCAACCTGACATGCTCGCCCTTTCAGTTGGGGCGTTATAATGTGACGGTTAATCCCACTATTCGTTGGTAAAAGAGTAGCCCAAGAGTTGGCGGTGGGTGGTGATGACTAGCTGCCTACCCTCTAGTCTTACACTGCTAAATTAGGGTCGGCTAGCGCAGATAGCTTTGCGCGAAATTCAAAAACAAACAAACCCGTGATAAGCTTTGGGCGAAAAAAACAACAACAACCTAAATGATAACGTTTGCTTGCGTACGTTAATCGAATATCGTAAATACGAGCATTTTCATAATCAAAAGAAGTCATTTGATTTTATAAGTATAGCAGCCAACAAATTTGTGGAGATAAATAGCGTTAAACGATCCTAACCTGTGTGATGTTTTGTACTTACAAAGATTGTACGTTATTATCTCTGTTAAGCAACACTCCATAGATTTTTCATAAAAATATATTTCAATAAGAGTTTTTAATGATATTGCTCAATAAAAGAACGTCATACAATCCTCCGAATATCCAATATCGTAATAAATGGTATAATTAATATCAATAATTAATAATTAGAGGAAAACTAAAAATCAAGTCCCTCATTGAGTAGGCGGTAAGTGTATAGCCTTACAACGCTAAAATTCGGGATTTGATTCCTGTGGTGGATAGAGCGAATATAGGTTATTGTGTAGTTTGGCGCCAAGACAAACTAAAATTCATCCTGGCGACCAGTATATTTAATTAAGTACACTTTTCTGTCTAAGAAAATCAGAATACATTGTTTCATCAGTTGAGTAATCTCGCTATTAAAGATATTTTCGGCCGTAATCCCCCAGAAATGTGGAATTCTTCATGAATTTGCTCGTCATCTTTCGCTTCCCCCCCCCCCCCTCATCCCCATAGTTTTCTATTATCTAGAACAAATAATATTGTTAATACTGGTGTTCTTCCCATTGAGTCTAAGAGATGAAAAGTTCTTTATATCATATTTTTTAACAGGTTTTGTATACTGGTAAAGACACCTAGTTATTAACTTTGCAGCTATGAAGTAATAATTCTACGCCAGTAATACCCACCCTAATGCTCTGACACGAGAGAAATAATCAAATAATTATTGTCGCCCTCCAGTGGGCGACAATAATTATTGTAATATAAATAGTTTTAATTCTGTTGTTTACATGTTTGTTGTTATTTTACAAATGCCACATGTTGTAATGTTTTTCATGTTGTGTCATTTATAGCAAAATATAAATAAATAAAATGGTGTATTCTTCTCTGACGGAATAATATATATTTAGTAGTAGGAGTTTTTAAAAAAGGTTTTTGAAACACATACGTAGCTTTTGAACGATTAAAATGTGCTGCGAACAATATAAATGGAAGAAAAACCCTGAGTAAAATTTATAATTATAACATGCTATTAGAATAAATTTTGCTATCAATTGTTTGATATTTATTAGTAGCCTAAATTTTAAACATAGCGTTGAGCAGAAACATTGGGTCTAAGATTTTCCTTTGAATAATATACATAACGTTAGACATAGCCTAGTACGAATCACTAAAAAAATAAAATTATCAATATCGTGTGAGCCTAATGATATAAAGCTATATTACGTATTACAATTTCGAATCACAATTTTAAAGACAACCAAATATTTAAACTTTTACCTAACTCCTACCCACTCTCTCTCACACACACAAAGTCAGATGTAAAACCCTTTTGGTAGACCATTTAAAATTGATATTGTGCATGAAATACTGAAACGGTTGTATCATATGTAGTACAGAATACTTTGTAGCCTTCACACTTTAGTAACAGAATAATATAATCACTAAAGTAAAGAAAATAGCAGCGATAAACAACATTTATTGACGTTTCGGATTATATTCCATTTATAAACACAAATAACATGATATTTTCGTCATAACTGTTTTAAAACATTGATAAGAAAGCTACTGAAAGTACCAGTAAAGATTACTGATAGGTGTGAAACCTTTCTCTCTTTACCCCTTTCTTGCCATGCCAATCTTCTGTCTATAGTTCCAGTTTTAGTAAATATACCGCCGAAGCAAGTACACTTTATGATATTCTATAGATAACGTAAATATTAAGCTTCATTAGATAACAAGAAAGTTTCGCCATGGTATGATATTTGTTAGCTAAGGTGAGTTAATGTATTGGTTTTTACAGTCCATAACTCTATAATATAAATAAAACTCAAGAACTAAATACAATTGAATATCTGAATGTCTTCAGAGTCTATTTCAGGACGAAAGAGCATGAAGGCATGCGTGTTTGTCTATTTACAAAAATACTGAAAACACCATATATGTATACGTTTTTGTATATTACATTCAAAATATGTGTTAGGGACTACCCGTGCTCTGCCCACGCATAGAACGAACATTAACAATTACCATTATATAAGTCCTAAATCTTATTAACGGGAATACTCACATTTACAACATATATATATACATATGCGTGTATATTAAACCATAATATGAGCATTCATAAATCAAAATGGTGGATAATAATATTTTTCTGTGTTCTAATTAATGTCATTGATAAATTTCTTTATTTCATTTTCTATAGAATGGGCTTTTATCTGCTCTACCTTACCTTTGTCAGTTTACGATTGGCTGCTTAGTGGGGTATACTGTAGATTTGATTTATGGCAAAAACTGGCTTAAACTGACCGTGTTAAGGAAAATATCTAATTCTTTTGGTAAGTTTCGTAACGTGTGTACAGACATTTTTCACTTTAGCTAATTAAGTTATTGTTCACAATAATTATTCTGTGATATATATCTTATTATGTCTCAATGCAAATGCAGGGCCTGAGAAAAATAAAAAGAGAGATTCAACCTCCTTCTCGAATTTTAATTGTTTCGGTGCATTTTCATTAATTATACCTGTTATTTTATGAAATTACTATCTACGATGATAATATTTTAAGACCTAAGCTAATCTCGATATTCGAACACAATGTGCATATGGTTCCTTTAGATCTACTATATACGATGCTAGTATTTTAAGACCTAAGCTAATCTCGATATTCGAACACAATGTGCATATGGTTCCTTTAGATCTACTATATACGATGCTAGTATTTTAAGGACTAAGCTAATCTCGATGTCCGAAGACTATGTGCATATGGTTCCTTTAGATCTACTATATACGATGCTAGTTTTTAAGGATTATGTTAATCTAGATATCCGAAGATTATGTGCATATGGTGTCTTTAGGTGTACTATTTTAAAGTTTAAGTTAATCTCTATTGATTTTCTTTGAAAGATCATCGTGAATCGTCACAGCTGTTTGTTGACAAATTAAAGCCATTTTTATCGTTAAAGATAGAACTACTTGTAAAAGTAATACCATTAAACGAAGAACGTTATTAAATAGGTGAATTCTGTGTGATAATTATTTTTATATCTAGATATGCTCAGTTTTGTGTAATAAGTTATTGTAAAACAATATGTAATCTTAAAATTTCTTTTATATATTGGGCTCAAATTTTTCTGTTTAACAAAAATGTCAAAATCAAATACTATATTTATATCATAGTTACCAATATGTAACAGATGTCCACAACCAGCTCTTTTTAGCTACCTTATATTTTCAATCTACAGCCAGTAATGTCAAACACTATCAAATAATCTAAAACATTTTGTCCCAATATCCTAATGGCAAACACTTAGAATAGAGCCTAATATCGCCAGCTGTATAGTTCCTTAATAAACATTAAATTAAATTTTTTACTACACAGATGTAATATCAGACTTGCTGTATGAAATCATATCACTCGCAAAACTCAGGGTATTAACTTTTAAATCAACAAATGAAAAACAAACTACAATAGCTAAACATTATATTAGAAACCAATCTAAGTTTGCAGAAATAAATACTTACAGTAAATGAAACAAAGTTAAGCGAAACTGAAAACAAAGGAAAGGTTGAAAGATTTTAAATGTTCTAAAAAACATTGGAAACGTTTATTAAGACAATTTCTTTATTGTACGATTATTAGTCTATTTAATTTATTATTTACTATTATATATTATTTTGTCTGTTCATAAACATTGTTGTTTTATTAATTGCTGCTGCATTACTTGTATCATCCTGCTACTCATCTCTATGGTATCACGCATGCGTACCAGTAAATTAGCTCAGACGTCAAGCTTTTCTAACTATATACAGTCGGGCTTCCGTTGGTCAATAGACGTTGAAAGGGAGGGATATATTAAGTTTTTCATCTTTTGATGTTAAGGTTTTTCATTGGACAGTAAATCGTTGAGATGTATTATTGGGATTTCGGTTGAAATATTAATTATCTATATTCATTACTGGGTTAATTTTTAGAGTCAGATTTAAGTAGATAGCTTGCTTTCATCATAAGTTAATATTGATCATTTAAATCGCACAACTAAGACTACTTCGTAGTAAACTTTTCCCCTTTTCTCTATGACTTTACTTCAGAAAATATGAAGGTGTCGCAGAACAATGTAATATTTTCCCTAAAAATACAAATATTTCTTGGCAATAAAAGACATATTTTGAATTACTTACAGACTTTTTTGCTTGGTATGTTTTCAAAAAACAAAGTGTTTTGTTTGATTGTTTGTTGTTAAGCACAAACCTACACAACGTGTCTGTGCTGGACCTACAACAGGTATCGAAACCCGGTTTTAGCATTATAAGCCTTCAGACTTACCGATAAGCCACTGGGTGGAAAAACAAACAAAGAGAGACTATCTACGAAACCATCTTTACTTTTTCAGTTATTTTTGTATACAATCCAGAATTTCATATTTAAATACGCTTGACGCTTTTCTTAATATTTTGCTCATATACTTACATATTCTGTGATTATACGATTTCATAATTTTGTCTTCCCCATACGTACTATATACATACTTGTATTAAATATATCAATATAAAATACCTGTATAGCCTTTAGAGCAGTGAATATATTATGACAGTCAATTTAGTATGTCCATTGAGTGTAAACACTTTAAACGATCTAAATTCAATCAAACTGTTAAATTTTGAGATTTGTTGGTTAAACCATGCTTTTGAAGTTGGACAATTATTGGTTCGATTACAACCAACGCCGCAGACAGAACATTTAAAAATTATAAACTCTGTAATTGGAGATCAGAGAGGCAGACTTATGAGTTCAAAGTGAATTTAACAAATTGTACACCTCAAATATTGTTTTAAAATGCTGAACCTATTAATGTTGGTGAATGAAATTAGACCACACTTACTAAAGAACTTTATTCATCAAATTAAAACAAAATGTAAAGCAACAAACATGCTGATAAATTTTATGATCGGATGAAGTATTGTCAAAGGGACTTCAGCCGGTTACAAGCAAGTTATATTTAAACATCTGGATGGTAAAAACTAGAGAATTGAACCTGAAAGTCAGATCTACAAGTTCAACATTTTGTCACATCAGATACTTACAAACATACAGGCGACAGTAGTAATCTCAAACAATTCTTTGGGAACTTGGAAGTTTTAGTGTTTTTCCCCATTTTATTCAATGCATATTCGATTGATTTGTACTTAAATCTATCATACTATTCACCTTTTGCCACTTTCTCCAAATCCTGTACAAATATAGGCTCACTGTGGTATGTAGAAGACATACACATGATTTTTACTTTGTTGTTACTTTATTCTCTAGATTTAATGTTTTAATTTTTCAAACATTTCACAATTGTTCTTTCTTCTAGGCTTTTACGGTTCAGCTCTGTGTTTGTTTGCAGTGACTCTGGCCAATTGTAACCATGCTTTAGCCGTCACTATTTTGGCTTTAAGCATGGGCTTCAACGGGTTCACATTTCCCGGATTCTTAGTTGTGGGCGTTGACATGGCGCCAAATTATGCTGGTAAGACTGCCACCTTTTATCTTAATCATTAGTTACTAAGTCCTAGTGGTAAGTTTATCTTGCTAAGTTTGGTATAGTGATACAACAACAAAAACATCTCAATTACGTGTGTGTAATCTCAGTTCATAGCTTGCAAATGAACCAAATACATGTAAAAAAACAAAACAAAAACTTTTTGTATCAGTTGAAGATATCTCTTCTTATTTTACAAGCTCGTTTATTAAGTTTTGTTTGTGTCAGATATTCGCTCAAATATACAATCTGCAATAGCTGTCAGTAATTTTGAAGTGATCGACTAGAAGGACGGCATCTAGTTAACAGCACCTATCGCCATCTCTTGGATTACACTAATCGAATAAACCGCCACTATTATAACGTAGTAGCAACGCTAAAGTAGGACTCGAACCTTGGACCATCGGATTCACAGTCGGGCATACTAACCACTAGGTCACGTTCGGCTGTGCAATTCAGTTACTAATTTAATTGTTTATATTACATTTTTTAACACAGGAAATTCACATAACAATGAATTATAGAATAACTGCTTGATAGTTATAGTTTAATAAGTGTTATATTGTTTACAATTTTTATTACCTTTAAAAAACAACAACTCAAAACGTGAAACATTTATAAGTACACACGAGAAACAAAAACATAGAGACCATAAGTAAAAAAATGGTTAAAAGTAAAAAGTAGCATTTCTTTAATGTTGAAGTTATGGTTTCTGTCAAACAGATAACATATTAAAACCTGATGGTAGTTTATGAATAATAATGGACTATTTCTCTTTCGACAAGTCAAGCAGAGAAAGTTCTTATACCTTTTTAGATTCTGAAATAACATTAAATATCAGGTCAGCTACTAAAAAGTTATACGAACCCCATTTAGATACAAATCTGCTTATCTTTAATATAAAATGCTATTTATAAATGTTTTATTGTCATTTTTCGGTGTGTATAAAATCATTACATTCATGGTTTTGTCCATGAATTTGAAAAGCCCTTGACATCATTATCGTTTGCTCTTCGAACTCTCCATCATTAATTCTCCACAACTTGTAAAACTCGGCGCTTATAACTTATGTAATTACACAATTTTAGATAAATTTCTATCAATGGCGCTATATATACAGAAATGTCATTATTTGATATTACCAGCAACTCTTCTTGTGATAACACTTACAACACCTTATAATGACTTCATATAAAACTTTGTTGATTATTTGTTACTAGCGAGGACACGTAGTGTTATTGTTTGATATTACCAGCAACTCTTCTTGTAATAACACTTACAACACCTTATAATGATTTCATATAAAACTTTGTTGATTATTTGTTACTAACGAGGACACGTAGTGTTATTGTTTGATATTACCAGCAACTCTTCTTGTGATAATACTTACAACACCTTATAATGACTTCATATGAAAGTTTCTTGATTATTTGTTACTAACGAGGACACGTAGTGTTATTGTTTGATATTACCAGCAACTCTTCTTGTGATAATACTTACAACACCTTATAATGACTTCATATGAAAGTTTCTTGATTATTTGTTACTAACGAGGAGCGCGTAGTGTTATTGTTTGGAATATTATATGAATTACGTAAGAATTAATCAAACCTAGCCTCCTGGACACTTTAAAATGATAACAAAATTGAGACGGTTCTCCAAAAAAGAATTATTCCACTAATTAGAATAGTAAATAAAATAGCTGTAAGTAGGGGAACATTATGTAACGATCAAGGAGAGCAGTGATTAGCAAACTACCGTCTTCCACGAAGGCTCATGTCTAGAATTACTAAAAAAATGCGACCCACCACTAACTGCTGTGCTCACAGCAAAGTGAGATTGAAGCTTTAAACAAACAGTGGTAAATGAAATGGCTTGTGATTGTATATCCGCTTGATTATCACATTAAAATTATCAGTCTAACGTATTTTATTATAAATATTGTTTTTAAACGGGAAGGCTTTCGCAACACGTTCCCCGGGTGGGACAGAGGTAAGTTTACGACTTACAACGCTAAAATTCGGGGTTTAATTCCTCGAGGTGGACACAGCAGGTAGCCCAATGTGGCTTTGCTCTAAAAACAAACTTTCCTAGCAGACCCCACTGGAAACACTGAATTGGAGAGAGTGCCTTCTAAATGCAGTGATTATCCAGCCATTGTAACCGTTTTGTTGTAAGCAAACTAAACAATATCAGTCTATAAACACGTAACCAGAGTACGTTATCGTGATTGGTTTGAAATATATTGTCTGAATTTGATACTCGGGAATAAATGGAAGTTTGATATATTGTTATATTGAACAACTAGATGTAGAATATTCACACTGTTTTACTACGTTTGGCATCACAAATTTTGATTCATTTGTCAATGCTTAAGAATGAACTTGGAAACTAGCTATATATTACCATTATGAGCTTAATACACTATCATTATGAGCTGTATATACTATCATTATGAGCTTCGGTCTGTTAACAATAAGCTGAAAATGAATAACTCGTTAGTTTGACAGATAAATTTTATTTTGTTTTGGCATAAATTAACACGCATTATTTTTCTGTGCAGGAGTTCTCATGGGACTTTCGAACGGGATAGCACAACTGAATGGATTCATTGTTCCTTACATTGTTGGTAGCCTTACTCAGGGACAGGTAGGTCAAGCAATAGTTGGCATATGATGTATACAGTAGTTAACGTATTTCGATATGCCAAGAGATAACGAGTGGGCCAGATTTCATATATAAAGAGAAAAAAGGAAAAGAAAGAAAGAAAAAGAAACCTAAAATGATGAACAGATCACTGAAGCAGTTTAGAAACACTTGACATTTTTGTAAATAATATTTCTCTTTCCAGTTGAAGAAATTAATTTGGAAATATCACGTTTTCTTCCTATGGAACGATATCGTGTCAAAACTTTAACGTGTTGTTTGTTTTTTAAAGTTCGCGCAAAGCTACACGAAGGCTATCTGCGCTAGCCGTCCCTAATTTAGCAGTGTAAGACTAGAGGGATGGCAGTTAATCATCACCACCCATCGCCAATTCTTGGGCTACTCTTTTACCAACGAATAGTTGGATTGACCGTCACATTATAACGCCCCACACGGCTGAAAGGGCGAGCATGTTTGGTGTGACGGGGATTCGAACCCGCGACCCGCAGATTGCAAGTTGAGTTCTCTAACCACCTGGCCATGCCAGGCCTCGTTCACGTATACGAGTGTAATACGTATTTTAGAAATGTCCAGTTTTAAGAAAAGACAGCAATACAGGTCAGAAAAAACGAGACCAATCTATACTTTAGAGCCATATTTTGTTGTAAAAAAAAAAAGATAAAACTGAAATTCAAGCATGTCACAAAGTCAACATGAAGACATGCTGATAATGATGATTCTGAATCGGTGTTTAGGTTTGCAACCTGGGAGAGTCAGGTGCTATTTAGGCCTCTTCCTCCCTCCTTTATTGTATGTTCAAATACTGCGGCATCCCAGTGGCACAGCGATATGTCTGCGGACTTACAACGCTAGAACCCGGGTTTCGATACCCGTGGTGGCCAGAGCACAGATAGTCCATTGTGTAGCTTTGTGCTTAATTATAAACAAACAAACAATCAAATAATGTGAAATGCTATTTAAAAATTCACGTAAATGCATGATCTTAACACTGTTTATACTTCCCTTATCAGGGCCAAGGTTCGTGAATGTAGTACATAGCATTTAGTGCTGTCGTCACCACTTCATTTCAATTGGTCGTGTAAAACATTTCTCAAACAGTTCATTGGTAATTTCAACACTTTTCACCAGATTATCATATTAAGTGCACATTTGACGTAAAAAACAACATAAATACACTGTCAGTAGTTTAATCGAGTTAATGCTGTAAGTTCTGGTTTGGGTGATTTATAAATTTTTTTATTAGTAAGAAATTCATAATTGTTCTGATTACGTGTGGGATTATTAGGGTAAGGTATTTCTTGGCTATTTGTAATGATAATGTGATGTCATCTGCTTGGTTTAGTGGATTTTGGTACTCTTGGATAAATTCTATAAAAGCGATTTTGGCTGCTTCTAAAATAGGGCTGTTTAGTGAGTATGATTATTGGTTATTTGTTTAATTTGTTTTGTGTTTGTTTGTTTATTTTGTTTTTATTTGGTGACTATACTGCGTCTGCATAGGTGTATGCTTGAGTGGCCTGCCTGTGTGGTTGAGATTGTGGATATTGATAGTGGTGTTGGTAATAATGGGAAGACATGGTTAAATATGGTTTGTTTTGAATCTAGCGCAAGGTTCTTCAAGGGCTATTTATACTAGCCGACCCTAGTGTAATATACTAGATGGAAGGCAACTAATCAACACCGCCCACCACCAACTGTTGTGTTACTATTTTACCAACGGATAGTGGGAGTGACCGTTATAATATAACGCTCTTACGGCTGAAAGAGCGAGCATGTTCAGTGACGGAGGTTCGAGCACCAGATCCGCAGTTTGCTAGTCGAATACCCTAATCACTAGGCAAGTTAAAAATAGTATAAAAAATTTTCTTTGTCCATGTTGACAATTAATATTTGTATTTGACTTTCTTAATTTGAACTTATACATTTTCGAGAATGTCTTCACAAAGGCACGATAAAAGGCGTTACCTGATTAAAGAAAAGTCATGAAAGACATACAAGATAAATAACTATTAATATCACAGTCAGACGTAGAGGAATTTAGATCACGGTGGATGATTATGACGATACGTTTTAATTACGAAGAACTTTTGTTCGTGGGAGAAAGAAAACAACTTTTTTTTTAAATTGAAGGCTGTATGTTTTTCTCACCACTTGGTTACGGAATTTAGTTCACAGACCATTGTTTGATCATTTTAGCTTTCGCTAAATTCAACTATTTTCACTGTTAAATACTATGAATTATATATGTGTAAAACTTGTTGCTATCAACTTCAGGAATTTTCTATAAAATCAATCTCACTTTTTTCAAATTCAATATGTATTTCAGGCTGTTATTTTCTGCATTTGATAATTTTTAAAAAATTTAATATATTCTCAAAGCACTGTTCAGTAGTCACTTGTGACTTGGTAATAAATTATGCCGTATACTACTACTAAAGTAACGTTATTTATATTGGTTAAATTTATATTTATATTGTGATATGTTTGAACAGCAAACCTTGCAACAGTGGAAAAAAGTATTCTACATCGGTGCTGCAGTTTACACTTTCTGTGGAACAGTCTTTGTAATTTTTGGTTCGTCTGTGTTACAACCATGGAATAATATTGGGAATTGCAAGAATGGAGAACCAACTTGTTCTCCGTCAGCTGTTTCATCAAATACTCCTGAAAAACGTACTTCAGCAGAAAAAAACAATTCGTGATTGCTTGAGACCTAACATACCTGAACAACTTGATTTAGCGAAACAGTTCCACTGTATTGGAACGTGTTCTACTAGTTTGGTCAAACATGGCGGCAGCGCGCAAATGGTGTAGATTCTTGATATTCTAATCTAAGAAAGAAATTAATAACAAAGTGTACTTCCAATATTAGCAAATAGAGTAAACGTAATCTCAAATAAAAGTTTAGTTAAAATCTGTAAGTACATGATAAGGGTATCTTTATTTTTAAATTAAGAAGTACATTTCCACATTGATATAAATATATTACCGCCTGAAACTTTCTGATTCAAAAACCTCGTCAGAAACCAAAATCATTAGCATCCTCAAGTCACTGTAGTCGTTTGCAGGGATTTGTGAAGTAACTGATTCATCAGTTTAACATTCTTTTTTTATTGGCTGATTTTTATGTTAACACGGTGTTGGCACATTCAGTCGAAGACCAGCCGTGACCGTCATTTTTCAATTAAATTAAGCTTGTGTACTTTTAAGAACCTATGAATGAAAATAAAGGAAAATCTATAACAATATGTCCACCACGCTTTACCTGTTGGCTATATCCAGTGTCGACGTGGCCTTTCGCCAAATACCAGGACTCATTAGGCTGGCTGGGATCCGAAAACATAGTAGTGATTGAGACATAACCTCTTGAAGTCGTTTACTTGTTACCTATTTCTTACTTAGATCCCCAAATCGTTTGCCTATTACTTGTTCCTTATTTATTTAATGGTGTCGATGTGTTACCAGCTTTGATTCTAAAGTTCCTGTAACAAATAATCATTATGTTTTTAAATCTTGTGGATTTAGTTCAGAATCTATCCTTGGAGAATGAATAGTCTTTATTTTTCCTCCAGAGTTACACTGTTCGAAGTAAATGATATGTTTGAAAGATGGTATAGAGTACTTTCCTGTCGAAAAGGGAATGTTCAAGCCCTTGAATTGAAACCGTAGTGACACGTATAGAACATCACTGGAAGTATATTTCCCCATTTTTAGCGTACTTATACATTAGAGTGTAAAACACGGTTTGGGTTTTGGCAGGAGCTATGTGTAGGATATGTTCGTGGTCTATAAATAAATAAACAAATGGAAAACATTTTAATTTTGATTCGTCTTTGGAATGTGCTGAGACAAGCCATTTTTAACAAAACACTTAGCCGAACAACTTGAGTTTAGACGTACTTCTAACAACTATTACCTTGAACCAAGCCCATTATTCTTGAAATAAATAGTCGCTAGGGATCAGACTTATTTTTAAAGTTATGAAACAGAAAAAGGGGGTGCATTAGTCTAGAATAACTGAAATGACTTAGCTTCTAAATGTCAAGATAAGAGAATAATATGAATATAAATGTGATCTTATAAAAAACTAGTAAAACCCTCTGTGATAAGCTAGGGACACAACATGTAAAACATACTAAACAACCTCACATCAATCATGGTCCTGGTTTGACTTTCTTAATTTGAACTTGTACATTTTCGAGAATGTCTTCACAAAGGCACGATAAAAGGCGTTACCTGATTAAAGAAAAGTCATGAAACACATACAAGATAAGCTGTGATAAGCTGGTGACACAAAATGTAAAACATACTAAACATCCTCACATCAATCATGGTCCTACATACCATATGACTTGGTTGGTTTTACGTACACAAATTGCTTTTCACTCCTTCACTTTGAGACTGAAAAACACTAATTTTAGTTTTAAATAGCAGATAAAGAAAGTGAGCATATATATATAGATAGATAGATAAAGATCTGTTTTGACCACCAGGAACGCTGGACACGAAAACAAAGTACAAAACGTTTTATTTGTATTACTCGATAGTGTTTTACCATGTTTACAATGTTTGGTAAACATAACTACTTATAAAAGAGAAAGATGAATAAAATCAGTAGTGCTCCGTAGCCAAAATATATTTTCTGTATTGAAACTGTTTTCAAAAGTATAAAAGTCTTAAATGTCTAACAACAAAATTTATTATATGCTATGTGTTTCTTCTCCCTCAGCTAATATAAAAAATTTTCAACATTTCTCTACATATTGTATATGTAATATTAATATTATCAAATGGGCCCTTTAAGTTCCTCTGGCCTTAGTTACTCGCGAAACTAGGTCATTCAGCCTGGTTGCCTAGTGTGTTTTCTCGTGGGAAAGATTTCTGTAACATAGAACATACTGTATAGAAATAGACAGTGATCTCTTCCACTGGCAAATCAGGTTATGCCCCAAGGAAAGCCTGCGTCTTAAAAATAATAGCATTGTTCTTGCTACTATATAATTCCAGAAAATGGTTTAAGATTTAGATTATCAGTTTGATTTAGCTACATTTGCTATTATAGAGCTCTCCGGTAAAGGTGCCAAAACAATATTATTTTAAACTTTGAGTGCTGTTTGTTTAAAATACAATTTTTTCCAATGAGTTTAAATTGTATCGAGTCTCTTTCTTAGCTTTGAACTCAGTCAAAGTCCGAGAATTCAGATTTCTTCTGTAAAACCTTATAGGCGAGCCACCTGTTATTCTTTGGCTTCTACCCGCTAACTCTAAAGAGAATCAGTGAACCTGAAAATATCACAATATAAGTTGTTTTAAACGATCACATTTTTACGATTAAAGTAGACCCTATAATTTTAAAATTCTTTAACTGAACTCCTAGTTTATATCTTGAAAAACATTTGGACTTTTAAGAATATCTAATATTCCTGTAGCATTGCTAATTAGAACATACTTATTTACTTCAGATATCAGAAGTTCTAATATGTCTGCTACACATATGTTACAATTGTAAATTTTAGTCTATAATTTGAGTTACAAAAGAGATGTTTAAAAATATTGGTATTCTAATGAAATATCCTATAAAATGCCTTTATAAAATATTACTGAATCTTCCAAAAGGAGCCACAAGTAAAGAAACAACGAATCTAAATCACCTAACTATAATTCTAGGACTAAATATATTGATACATGATTGAGTTATGAGGTTTGGAGACTGGAAAATTCTAAAAGTAAATTTCAACAAAATTCTTACGAATTAACATTGACGAAATTAAAATATAGTTAAACGTATAATATATATTTAATTAGGTTTTTATTTTTCCACTAGATTATTTTGATCCTAAATCGTCAAGATGATAGAACACTCGCAGTCACGTCACATTCACATTGTTCAATCAATCTAAATAGCTGATGACACTGCAACATAACTTTTAATAAAATTGTTCAGGTATGAACGCCTTTTACAAGCTGACGAAGCATAATTATAATTAATTATATTTGTCATAAGACATTAGTATTAGGCCTATTATATTTTTCAACACTACAGTCTTCATGTAATCCCTTAAGAATTTTCAAGAATTACAAAATTGTTTCATAATAATATCTTATCCACACTCTATTTGTCATGACAATGGAACTTATGCAGAAAAATCTTTGTAGTTTTGGATCAGCTGAGTAACAGAGATCAGAGAGTAATAACTCTTCTCAGTCGAAAAAAAAATACGTTAACAAATAAACTTCATTCTGACTAACAAGCTCCAAGAATTAGTTTTAATGGTGTGATGTCAACATAAATGTTATCTAATAAAGTTACAATCATAAAAAAAACGTTATATGTAACGAAAATTTCCAAGCGATTACAATTTGCATTTTAGACTTATAGATTTTTTTTATAAGGTTTGTTATTTCTTGATATAAGAGAAGCTTAATTTTGAAATCATGTTTGCTATATTTGCATATTTGTGTTCTTGGTCTACTGCCGTCAGTAAGAACTATTTTTGTCCTAATTTGTGTTAATGTTTATTTATTTAATCACGTGGTGATTCTAAGACACATGACTCACTATACTACTGCCTCTCGGTCGCTCAGCGGCAAGTCTGTGGGCTTATGATGCTAAAAATCGGGTTTCTACACAAGCAGTGGGCATAACAAAGATTGCCCTATGTGCTTACAGCAAACAAACAAACAGTCGTAGGGTACAACATCACAGTATAGAGCGTTGTAGTTTTTGTTGTTAAGCACAAAGTTACATAAAAGTCTATTTGTGCTGAGCCTACAACGAGTATCGAAACTCAGTAACAATCGATTTCTTCCCTTCTATTCAGCCAGTGGAGTTATATGTGTGTAAAAACTAAAGTACAGATTTCAAACTCATGTTCAGAAGTACTAGACGTACTTTCCTATTTCTGTGTATAAGGACAATGTGCCGCCCTATCCTTTAACGTAGTTCTTGTTATTCCTATACTCTAAAGAGGGCTAATGAATAGGAAATTACACTGATGTTAAGGTCAAGCCTTTCTACAGCGTGTTATCTATAAATTATCTGTACTACAATTCCATCTACCCACACCAACGCACTAATTTTACGTTTATCGGAAGTTTGTTTCTTTGTAATTAAGCACAAAGCTATACAATGGGCTATCTGTGCTCTGCCCACCACGGGTATCGAAACCCGGATTCTAGCGTTGTAAGTCCGCAGACATTCCGCTATACCACTGGGGGGGGGGGGCTTATCGGAAGAACTGATCACGTATTATGTTAGTACATAAAGTAACCTTGATTTAATCTCTTGAGGTTTTGTCAACATAAAATCCATTACTTATATTAATTTTATGATTATTTCAGGTAATAAGTTAGTTAAAGTTTATCTAATGTATTTTCATTTTTAAATTAAAATTTTATTCTTATACTTTCTCCTGTTATTATATAACTACAGCTTATTTATTCCATAATTTCAGACCTCTTGCTTACTTTATTGTCTTTTCTGTAAGTTTTAGTAATAGTTTTCGCAGTTTCTCAATTCCTACTGACTTTACACAACCAGTTACTTCTACACTCTTACGCCCCCCAGTGGCACAGCTGTATGTCTGCGGATTTACAACGCTAGAAACCTGGTTTCGATACTCGTGGTGGGCAGAGCACATATAGCCCATGGTGTAGCTTTGTGCTTAATTCCAAACAAGCTACACTCTTACTTCTATCTATTTAAAGTGGTGCCAAAATGTAAAAAATAATTTTAAAAAAACAATATTTTGTATTTTACAATACACGTCCGAAAAGGGAAAACATGAAGATAGTGTTCTTTTAGTTGCTGTTGTTTATTATTAAGCACAAAGAGCTATCTGTGCTCTGCCCACCACGGGTATCGAAACCCGGTTTCTAGCAGTATAAGTCCGCAGACATACCGCTGTGCCACTGGGGGGCGATTATTTCAGAATTGTAAATCTGTTGTTTTTTTTCAAAGTACATTCATTAAAACATTTGCTGGCATATAGTGGGCTTTTTTTAGGAACATCTAACGTGAAATTTATGTAAATTTATCCTTAATATTAAATTATCTGTTTCACCAACATATAATTCATCAAAACTTACACATTCTAAAAGATATATTGCGTTTTAAAATTACAATAAATGAGTTATTAATGAAAAACAAAATTTCTTTACTACTGCTCTTTACCTGTTTTGGTAATTTTCATCTAACTTAAATTACATAAAGCACAGTTCTTTGTGTCACAATTAAAATACCTTCTTTAGAAAAATCTCTTTCTTTAGGCTTATTCAATAATCTATACAAATTTTTAGGGTTTCTTCTTGATAAAATAATTTTATTATTATTGCATACATCTTTCAGTTTTTATCAATTATTTGTTTAAATTGTATATTAACAAATGAAATATCAAAATGTATACTTGTACAATGAGTCACAACAAAAGATACAACATTCTCTTTAGGTTTACTAATATTTCTGTTTGAATGTTTTTTTATTTAAAAAGTTATTCTTAGCAATTTCAAAACCTCTCAATATAACTTTTTCCGGATAGTGGCACTGAACTAAGAATTTGTTTTAGTTCTAATAATCTATTAACTCTCGTTTCTTCATTGGAAACCAAAAGATATAACCTACTTGCAAGATTTACAGGAACATTTATTTTTATATTTTTGGAAGGGTTACTAAAAAGTCTACATATTGATGTGAGTTTGTGGGTTTATAAAAAATATCAGTTATAATTTCTTTTTCTGGTGATATTGTTACGCCTCCGGTCGTTAGTTAATTTTCCGTAAAAATTGTTTCCGAAGAAGCTTTAGCGATACAAGTCCTTTCTTAAATAAAACTGGTTTATTTTTTCTGAATACAACTCTGTAATACACTTAATTTCCATAGTCGCGCTATAACAAACGCTATAATTCACAACGAACGTCTCACGTGCTCGACTCAACTGTCAATTACACATTACCATCGTTCCCGTCACTTCTTGGCGGCTTATATATACAAGACTACCGCATATCTAGTAGTCTCTCGAGACTTTAGGAAAGGACAGGATCCTTCTAGAAGCTCATGACGTGTTACTAGAGTCACGTGACTCCCGCTGTCGTAACAGTATATTTACCGATACATCTAAAAAGGAAAAGGCTTTATTATGTCTTTCAAAGGTAAACTTAATTTCCTTGTTTAATGAGTTTCAAACTTATTAATATCTTGAGAATCTTTCCACATTACAAAACAATCGTCTAAAAATCTTTTCCAAAATATCTTTCCAAAATTCTCTCCAAAATAATTGGTAGTATGTTAAATAATTTTAATTGTAAAAATACCATAGGGCTATTAGCGTAAGTTGGAGTAATTGTTGTGCCCATTGCTGTTCCAGAAATTTGATAAAAGATATATTCCTCATAAGTATAAAAATAAAAACAATTTTTAAGACTATACCTAAACCTTTTAAGACAAACCTTTATTAAACTTGGAATTGATTAATTCTTTGTATTTGTCTAGGAAACTTTCCACAGCTTTAAGTCCATAGTTATGTTCAAAACTTGGATACAGAGATACCACATCTAAAAAAACAAAACTATGATTTTCTTTTAATTTCTTTGGCAATTTTTCAACAAATTCAAAATAATTTCTAATAAGGCTCGGAATATGAGCTAATAAGGTTTTTATAACATCTCTAAAAGTTTACTTAAAGGTTCAGTAATTTTCCAACAATAATTCATTAATCTCTTTATTTATCTTATGCCTCCCAGTGACACAGCGGTATGTCTGCGGACTTACAACGCTAGAAACCGGGTTTCGATACCCGTGGTGGGCAGAGCACAGATAGTCCATTGTGTAGCTTTGTGCATAACTACAAACAAATTTATCTTATGAAGTACATAGATGTATCCAATTTCTGAGTTACTTGAAATAATTTGTTTGTTTTTTTCGTTAATGTCCCCTTAAATTCATTAACAAAATTTAACCTTTCTCTGAATACGCTGTAAATTGGGTTTCCATACCAGTGGTGGGCAGAGCACAGATAGCCCTATGTGTGGCTTTGGGCTTAACAACAACCACAAAAACCACCAAGTTCGCATAAGGTACCATTCATGTTGGAAATTTCAATTCCAAGTTATAAAACATTACAACTGTTTACAAACTATTTACACGAAGGGACATAACATACTATTACAGTTAAAACTAGTTATTTTAAGAGTTTACAAAAGCATCATCATCCATAACTTTCAAGATTATCGCATTACATTTGTTTTATTTGTGTTATATTAATAACATTGTTGAGCTTATAAGCAACAGACATAGTCTGGAAAACAATGAGTAGCGCATGCCTTAACTTTGATGTCAGTTACGATAATAAAAGGTCAATGTTCACATCTCTAGGAGTTTCTTTAGTATTAATAATATTTTAACGATTCAAAAGCACTACTTGTTGTATTATTATTGTCTATGTGGTATTCAGGCACAATGGTGTCCAACAGATTATTATTCACAAAACGTAGGTGCCGGAAATGTTAGGCAGAGAATAAACTGAACACAGTCAGTAAAATAAAGAAATGCAACACAAGTGAATAAGTAAAACAAAATTTTAATCACTAATTGAAATTGTAACCGTGAATATTTCTGCGCTAGCTGTCCCTAATTTAGTAGTAAAAGACTAGGGTTAAGTCATCACCACCACCCCAACTCTTGGGCTAATCTTTTACCAACGAATTGTGGGGTGGACCGTCATATTATAACGCCCCCACGGCTGAAAGGGCGAGCATGTTTGGTGGGAAGGGAATTCGAACCCGCGACCAGCAGATTGTAAGCCGAGCGCCCTAACCACCTGGCCATACCAAGCCGTAAGTTAAGGAACGATACAGATATAACGCTATCTGAATGTGTTTTTTAGAAAGAACTTGGAGAATTACTCCATTTCTGAATATTTGTATGTTTAATTGCCACTTTTATTATCACAACAATAAATAATACTGTTAATTATGATTTACATTACTAAGCAATGGCTGGTGTTTTTTTCTATAACTTTACGAATTTCTTAACCGTCAAATTTCTATAACTTTACGAATTTCTTAACCGTCAAATTTCTATAAACTTTACGAATTTCTTAACCGTCAAATTTCTATAACTTTACAAATTTCTTAACCGTCAAATTTCTATAACTTTGCGAATTTCTTAACCGTCAAATTTCTATAAACTTTACGAATTTCTTAACCGTCAAATTTCTATAACTTTACGAATTTCTTAACCGTCAAATTTCTATAACTTTACGAATTTCTTAACCGTCAAATTTCTATAAACTTTACGAAATTCTTAACCGTCAAATTTCAATAACTTTACGAATTTCTTAACCGTCAAATTTCTATAAACTTTACGAATTTCTTAACCGTCAAATTTCTATAACTTTACGAATTTCTTAACCGTCAAAGACTTTGTTAATATGAAAAATTTTACTCATAACCTGTAACAACAAGAAAGTAAAAAATGTTTACACTTGAAAATGATATTTTACTATTAAGAAACATAACGTTTTCAGCTAATTCATCAAACAAATGCTTTAAAACTATTCTTTTTTTGCTGTTGATTAAGACGATTTCTTATCATTTTGACAAATATATTTCTACTATCGATATGTGCAATGTTTTCTGACATTCTAGACTGCGTTTCTTAATAGAAAGTATTGGTAATTCCTTTTTTGAGTGTAAACACACCTACAGTATGCTGTTATCTCGACATTTCTTACCTTCCTACCGAAATATGTTGATTTCCCGTTATTTTATACCACGTTATACCTTAAAATTGAGATAAATTCCACGAAATATGGTTTTTTTTAATTTTTAAAACTATTATATCGTATCAACTTTTACCTACAAGCACTAAATTAGAATATTTTCAAAGGCGAATGCTCGAGCCAAGAAACGTATAAATCATAACGTGTGGATATGTAAGTTCGATTAAACTCACGTGGTTGGTCTATTTTAAGTAGTGGTTTTATTATATACGTTGATTAACCACACAAAAACAACAATGACGTTGTCCTTCTGATTTCTAACGTATTAATAAAAGCTTTATCAACATAACGAGTTTTGAAACATCCAGATACCTATCTATGTGATAGTTGTGGTACATTGTTTGGTATCCAGTCCATACACACTCGTATAATATCATCATACAAGTATAAGTTATTCCTCCAAGACCTTCAGACTGCGTCACTGGATAGAGATATGATTTATCTGTTTTGAAATTGAAATTAAATAAAGTGTCTTATTGGAACTTAGAACTTAATTGCAAGTGGAAAACATCGTTGGGACATAGTAAATATATTATATACTGCTAGTCGAAGTGAATAAATTTAAAACTCTCAATAAAATGGTATCAAAAGTGATACAAAAAATAGGCAGCAGGGCTAAAAGTGAGTCGTATGATGATGAGAAACAGTCATTAATTTCTGAAGGAACTCGGAGATCTTCATGTGGAGGTGAGAGATACCTTTAATCCAATTATTGTTTGTATAAAATAGTTACAAGATAATTGTCCAATTCTTAATGTCCTGTGATTTTTAGACCTTATGTTCAATTTATTTGAAATAGCATTAATTACGGTATTGTACATCAAAGTGTTCAAAACAAATATTGTTAATATTATTAGCTACCTTATTCTGATGGTTAATAACACTTTATAGAAACGATGTTCCATACCTCGTGCTTCTCCTGGAATTACTTCATCCTGCCTCGATCGTCCTCAGCCTGGGGGGCCATGGTAAAGCACAATTGTCCAACAACTAAATTTCCATAGTGATAAGAATTTAGGAAGAGACAAATATGAGAGGAAATATTTTGGCAAACTTTCCACAGACTCCCTGTTGTACGTGAACCTCAGCCTCCAAGATCATATTTAATCAAACCAAGGGTACAAAAGTCTAGTTTGAACGGCATCAGAGGATTTGGTTCGTATGTGGTGGAGAAGGATTGCTGTTATTGCAGTTTCTTCAACCAACCTTTTCCAAGAAATAGCTTATGAACGCTCGGCTTGTGAATCTTCGTCAAATTCAAATCCTTGTTGATGGTACAAAAAATGTACTGAGTTTCATCATAATATTTGTTTTTGGTCAGGAGGTTTTCTTCGTAATCTTAGCCTTGATTTTTGGATGAGGAATTTTGCTAAAGATTGGCTTGGGGTGTGATTTTGAAGCCCGTTTCTGCCCCTGAAAGCTCTTCTTTCCATCTTCTTGGAAAACACTGAAAGTTCCCTTCCTTGAAATGTTGTGTTATTTGGACCTAAGTCATTTAATAATCTCTCGCATGAATAATCCAGGAGCGTCGCCATGGAAGGGTTCGGGAGAGGGATGATTGAACGACCATTCCCTTATTCTAAAATGTCTAAAAGGTTCACTATTCTCTAATTTTTAATATATACTTGACTTTCTTTTACATCACTTAAATTATTTGTGTAGAAGAAAAGGTCCTCTTTATATCAGGAGAGGATTCCTCCACTCTGTAGTGCTGACTGCGCCCCTGTAATCCTGTCTGGTAAGGGTTCAACATATTCATGAATCAGTCCGTAGTAGTTTTCGCTGTAAACCAAGTATAAACGTGCTAAGCATGTTACTGTGACACTAAAACTCGCATCTTCGGCTACACGTTATTACATTTGTTTTTTATATATGTGGGGATGCAGTTAACATTCTATATGTAATCTGAATGCACATTACAGTCTGAAGTTTTTGTTTTTATTCCAGTATCAGGTGCGGTTAATGAATGTAGTTAATTATTTCATGTATATTTCTTACGGTCTTTCATTTCCTCTTGGAAAACTGTCTTACTTTAATTCATGAAATTGCACGTGTCTAAAATGTCCCGCTGATTTTGCCTTATACCGACGAGATCATCCCCACTGATAAAGAATAACGACGAGATACTTCGGTGGAGTAGATGATCACTACAAGAATTACCGGAAACCAATTTCAGTGAGGAATTTTCTCACTCTTTCATGTGCATCTTTCTACTAAAACTAGAACAATCAGATAATTCAACAAGCGATATAAGATAAAGCAGAAATAGATTACCACCCTCTAGCTAGAAAGCATTGCAGAATCAAACAAATGCAGTTATTCTAAGATCGAATTTTCCTTAACTGAAGATTCTAAAAAACAAACTTTCATGGTTCTGTTCAATTTATACTTTTATTTTTTCAGTTGACTCTCTTATACTTTTAACATACTAAACTATTCGAAGAACTTAAGAGTCCATAAAAACATTTGTTCGGCCTCCTTAAAAATGGGGATTTGATCTTTTTTTTTCTAACATTTATAAAGAACGACTTCGTGCACAACACATTTTAGTCCTCATGGGATTCTTTGGATTTTTCAACGCCTACTGTTTAAGAGTGAACTTGAATATTGCCATAGTAGCCATGGTCAACTACACGGTGATTCAACAAGGCCACATAGAGACCACTGAATGTCCGAACCCTGAAGGAGTCTTTAACTCTAATGCCACGGTCACAAAGGTAGGTTTAATATATGATCATTTATTATCATTTCCATGCTCGATATGATTTTAATAGGGAGCTTTCATAAAATACATATGCAGGAAAAAGGGGAGTCGACAAAAACGTACGTACGTTTTTTTGGATGAGAAAATCTGAACAACTTTTTCTTTTTTAATTTTTCTGGCTCGAGTTAGAATTTTTGGAGTTTTGTCAATTTCTTTTAATGCTTTTTGTAAAACATTTTATAATCGAAATCAGTTTCTAGTCAAAACCGCTTCTGTCTTGCTTTACTTGAAGGATTAATCGATAACAGTACGTACAAGAGGAGGAGTCTAAGCAGAACATACAATTGCATATCAGGGAGGGGTTAAAAAGATAAATTTTGGCGTACGTACTTTAAGGATACTCCTTTAGTTAATGTTCCACAACTAGGCGTGTTTACGATTTTGTAGATGGATTTTAGAGATATAAAATATAATAACTTTTATGTATTTTTAAGTAGATTGAAATCCAATAGTAGCACAATAGCAATTTACCATATATATTTGTACTGCTGATCAACTTCTTTGGTTTATTGAATTGTAGGGTCTTTCACATT